AAAAAATTTTCTATACCTGCGTAATACCAATATAAAGGAATATAATATTGTATAGCTACATGTTCTTCGGGTAGTAAGGACATAACTTTAAAATTAAAAAAAATGTAAAATTACGGTTTTACATATAATTCATTTTAAAATGTTTTACATTGTGATCCGATTTATAAATATCAGGATAAAAAATTATCATTTTTTTTATTTGTTTCCCTTAAAACAGAAAAATTAAAGAAAAGTTAATGGTGTATGGAACTATTATAATTTGACATAATGCAAGATATTGTCTAACAAGTAAATAAAATTAAGACATATTTTAATACGATATGCGTACATGCCTGTTGTGCGGAAAGGTAGACATACATATGTGGATGTAAAAAGTATTGTTAATGAAAAGAAGGTTTTGAGATTTTGAATAAGTTCGAATCCCAGTTTTCAACATAATTACACGTTTTGAGTTCAACTGATACCAATTATAATGATGTAGAGATGGTTGTCCGTTGATATGATATGAGAAGGAATTAGTCGAGGGTGCGGTCAAAAAAATAAATAAATAAAAAAAATTAAAATATATACAAGGCAAAAATTAAAATTATTTATATATTTTAATTTTTTTTATTTATTTTTTTTTTTTTTGACCGCACCCTCGACTAATTCCTTCTCGATAACAATTATATTTTAATTATATTTTATTTCAGGAATTGAAGTTGTTATTGAACTTTTGTTCCATTGTTAAGTTCCAATTTAACAGTTTCTGTGAAACTTTTTAGGAAAAATAATTTAAAATAAAAGTTTTAAAGAACTTTTTTGTAATAAAGTTCCACGTTTGTGGTAAAAGTTTAACGTGTATTTAATCAAGTTCTTGGAAAAAGTTCGATTAATTGAAAATAACATTAATTGGGCTTATATTAAGGTTATAATTTGTCTTAAATGAATTAGACGTGATTCTAATTTGCCGTTTGTTTGAGACACTATGAATAAGAGTCATTTTTTCAGATCCACTTTTTAGCGAAATCAACAAAACTTTTAAATAAAAGTTCTGTAAAACCTTTACTTGAAAAGTTGCAGGGGGGAAATTACTAATTCCAAAAGAACTGAAAAACTATTGACAGAAAATTTCGGTTTTTTTTCGGTCTCCGTTTCAAGCCCTGTTTTATTTATATTAAGTCTCGAAAAGTGGTCTGTGTGTGTGTATGATCAGTCGGGATCAAATAAGACAAGTCGTGCAAAACCAAAATTACGTATTTAAGAAATGCGAAATTTAAAAAATTTAATCAAGTTTTATTATTTCGAGGAATATCTTTAAAATCCCTTTTTTACTTCACAAACATTTTATTTCATTTTCCATGTTTGTATTTGTCTACGTTTCGAGCGATTAACTTTGAAGAAACTTTTTGATTTTGAAACATAATATTTAAAATCAGGAAATATTTGTTTATGATAAAACAACAATTGATGTCATTGTTGACTTGGAAATAGACGAATTTGGTCGAAACGTTGTCCATTGCAAAAATGAAAATGAAATAAAGTTATTGTGAAGTAAAGAAAGGTTTTTAAAGATATTCCTCGAAATAATAAAACGATTATTTTTTTTTATAAAATATTTTGGTTTGATTTTTTGTATTGATTATTTTTTCAAATGAACAAATTAGTTACTCTTCAGAGACCAAGTCTCATTATATAGTTTCTTTTCTATCTAACTAATTTTGAAATGATTTTCAAACTAGCAATGATGTTGGGTCTTTTTGTGAATGGATGTGTTATTCATAGTTCGTGAATTCCGCATTCCATTATACGATCTTTGAACCCGGTATAGGCTTTGAAGTACCATTGGCCGTAATTCGGGAAATTGATGGGAGGGAATTTTGGCAAGGGGCTAAGAAGAGATTAGGAACAAACAACGTCGATTGCCGACCGGCCAATAGGCGAACATGTGGATCTATCGCGGAAACTCTTCAAGTATATTTAGACCGATTTAGCCATCCTAGGATCAGAAGGAGCAGATGGTCTCTCGGGCTAGTTCTTACTACACTGCATCTGTCAGATATGTCACGTCTGTCTACGGCAAGGTAAGCTGTATGTATGTGTTATTATAACACATAATGATAAGTTGTGACGTTTCAAAAACTATGTGAAACACAATTAACTAACATTATTGCTAAACCAAACTATTTAATTTATTTCTCATGATACTGACAGCAGATGGAAAATGTCAAAAACAAGAAACAAAATACAAGCATAGTCGCTAGTGGATCTAGGATTTTATTTTATTTTTTTTTTTTGGGGAGGGGGAGGGGAAGAGGAGGGCTTCAGCCCGAAAGCTTTTTTTTCAGATATATATAACGATAATTACTTCGGAAAAAAAAGATACTAACTACATACATGAATTGGCGTTCAAGTGATTCTTGAAGTCCTATTAAATGTAATTATACGAACAATAATATTTCAAGAGATACTTTTTTACCATGAAACATGGTTACATTTTACCATTTTGGAGGGCGGGGGAGAAGGGGGCTTCAGCCCCAAAGTCCCTCCCCCTAGAATCCCCTGTGAGCATAGTGAAATAACCATTTATATACTTGTTTTTCCCTTTGATTGTGAAATGTCTAAACGCACCTTGATACTAGATAGCCATCCTTCTTCTTAATGCATTCGACATAAAAGCGAGATCAGCGAAATAAATTTATTCGAGATAGTCTATTCAGCACACAATTGTTGAAGCTTCATACTTCACAACTGTTATAGTATCAATTTACTTAATAACTGATTAGCTTGTCCCATTTGAAAACATCCATCTTGTTAATAATTAAGCAATAAGACACAGCTATTCCTAAACTTATTCTAATCCATTGTAGACCAAATTGCTTCGTAAAAAATAGTTTTGATTGATAGTTCCTTCACTTACCAAAAGTATCAAAGTCTATTATTGTTAGCATAGAAGTTATACCCGGATATTTTTTTCTTTTATTAATAAAATAATCCAAAAGCTTCGTTCTGTACTATCCGAAGTGCCCAATTGATCATAGAGCTTTCAATTGATTTATAGTTCGTCAAAGGCTATCATAAATCGCAATAGTTTAATTTTTAAAATTTAAACAAAATGTGATAAGTATCCAATGGTAACCATAGTAACTATGAGGCATTCAGCAAGAATTGCGATTAGTCTCAAAAGGGAACATTTTTAGACTTTAAAACACAGGATGTTGATGCTTTTGAAACCTTCCGAATGTTTCAAAGTTTTTTATTAAATTTGTACGAATTTAAGGAACAGCGTTGTATTTCGCCACTTCTACACGAAATTCCATTTTGTTTGATACTTATTTGTAAAAAATCATCGCTTATGAGAGCCAGAAAAGCATCAAAAATCCATAGAGTGCTTGTAATTTAATTTTTTTTTTTGTGTGTCTTTCTTCTCTTCTTTTAATTAATATTTGTATTAAACAGTGTACCATTTTCAACGAATTTTTAGCAGTAGGCTAGTTTACATTAGATTTCTAAAGAACTGGAAAATTTTTGATAAAAAAAATATCTGATATGTTGGCAACTGAAATGTATTTGGAGCTTCTCAATTCCTTATTTTGGACTTTGGAAACTAATGTTACATAAAAAGAAAAAATTGTACCATTATTAAGTGTTGGTTTGTGAGATTTTGTGCTTAATGCATATGAGGATACAAGATCTGCTATTTTATCATAGCTCTTCATTGATAGATTACATATTTCCGGATTAACATTGCTAAGTCAATAGTATAGCATTGTGTTATATTTTGGCATTTTATAGTATGTTGAATCCATTTGAATTTAAATAATAATGTTCTCTATTTTGGAGTATCTAAGCTTCCTGCACTTTATGATTTGTGTTTATATAATAAAATGAACACAAATATATTATGCTAAAAATACTTCAGCACGTACTATTCATTCTAAAATATTTGGCTATCAGTTTTGAAGTTGAAAAATAAAAAAAGTGACATAAATAATATCATAAAATATTGATTTATAATTTTAAAAATAAAATTATTACTTCTTCATTTTGATAAAGTAGACCACTAGCGAAATTGTTATGTTTTTTACCCTGAATTATTTTCAGTTAAAGAATGTTTTATATAATCTGTTTTAGTAAATTTCCATTGTTCCGTCGTGATGGCTGTTTCAAAATGGATCCTGAGTTTTCAATTTTTTTTTCTTCTGTGTTCTATTTTAGTTATAAATAAAAAGTCATTTTCAGCCTTAGTATTCCTGCGATGTTTATCCTATAAAACTAACTCAAAACAGAAGATTCTTCACATCTGTTGAACAAGATTAATAGCTGGTTGTTTTTCAAAACAAATCATTTCTGATTAAACCCAGATATAGATGTGCTTAAATGTTCTCCCTTTTATCTTTAAAATAATGAATGTTCAATTATACACAATGTTGTTTAATGAATTTCTTTTTATATATTGATAAAAGAAAATATCTTCTCTTATTAATTTTATCTAATTTTACAGTTGTGAATTTTAAAAATACTGAAAGAAAGAGTTTTTTTTAAACATTAAATATTTTAATACTGGGAGAGAAGATGGATACGTGATTGAGTAATTTCTTCAGGTATTTCTTTCCTCTCGGGGATTTCAACAATCATAGAGCATTATCAATTCATATATTTTCACTATTCTTAACAGAGATATAGAAAATTATGCACAGAGACAAGAAATATGTCCCATTGCTATTAAAAAAATATTTGTGCCTTTTAAGATGATCAGGTAAGTGATACAAAGGGCTGAAATGTGAATAAGTCAAATCACAAGGAGTATCTACCCCCGAAATTCTTTGACAGATCTTTTTACTGATATTAATATCAAACTTAAAATATGTAACTATCTTGAAGGTTTTTTTTTTTTTTTTTTTTTATTAAAATTACAATGCTGTACGTCTATACACTGTTTTGTACACTTTTTAATTATTTAACAGTCTTAAGCCTAAAATTGTGTGTATTAAATTGTTATCAAATGATTATTTTTGCAGGAAGCTAGTGGACACAGAGTTAATATCGAAGATGGACTCCACAGCAAAGCAATTGATCTTGAAAAATTGTTCACCCCAGCATCAGACTCAGGAGAAATTACACCTTCTAGGAGTAGTAAGTAATTAAAATAGTTTAACTGAAAATAAATTCAGTCGTTTGTGCAATCTCATTTAATGAAAAATGTCACTTTTTTTAATATAATTATGTGTTTAAAATTATTATATAAACATCAAAAATACAAAAATCAGTTGAAAATAAATGTTAATAAAGTAAAATTAATATTAACTGAAAATAAAATTAGTTTGATGGGCATAAAAAAATGTTTTAAAAATTAAGGGCATATTTGAAACATTTAATCAATCTACCTATCTACAATTCCTTTTTGAGAAATTTTTAATTTAAGCCAAAAATATATACTTTGATTGGCAATTTATAAATATAATCTGGTGTTGGCATGATTAGTATAATTGAGATATTTAGAAAAGAAGTTGACAAGTTGATACAATTAATTGAAGTTACTTAATCCGTCTTTACTCAAATATTTCTTTCTGTGCAGGAAAAGTCTATGCATCTTCAAGTTTCTATTCTCCGCACCACCCAACAATGGAGGAACAAGTTGAACTGGCTCGAAGAATCTCTCATTCTTTGAGCGATATCAGCAATCGAGAAAGCAAAGGGCAGTCTATGTATGTTAATAGAAAGAAGAGATCAGTAAAGTGGGTACACGCAGGTAAGATCACACTAATATTATAATATTTTTTAAAGTTTACAATCCCTTTTTCCTTAATGAAATTTTTGACTTTGATGAAAAATAATGTTCGATACTTCTTGAAAAAGACAAGATCTAATTATTCTTAGTCCTCTTGATATTCATTGGTCTGTTGTAGTATACAGTCGCCATCCATGAATATTAGCTTATTACAATAATTTTCTCTTGTTGGACCATCAGGATACTACTTAGTCAAATTGGTACTCATTTGTCTAGAGGGATGTTATGAATCAAACAAAAGTTTCCTTTGCTCATTGGCAATGGTGCTATCTACTGAGCCACAGAATTGATCAATTTCATTACATTATGTTTTTTAAAAGACTTAAGTTTTGTTGAATTTCAAACAATGAACAAAAACTTTTTAGTGTTTTCTTTATATATATTTTGTACAAAAACAGCCTGAATTTCATCTATTTTATAGTTTCTGGACAATACTAAAGATTTATAAGCTCATTGTATATCACTAGCGGATCCAGGATTTAATTTTGGCTATACTTCAACCCGAAAATTTTTTTTTTAGATATATACAATGATGATTACTTTAGAACTAGCACAATTCAAAAATTAAGTTCCAATACTCCAACAACAGAAGCGGTTTCCAGTAATAAGTTGTGAATAAATAATCTATGTCTACTGTATATTCTTTCCTTCGTCATCATAATATTATTTTAAGAGTCAAACGAATACTGGCAGAAATGAAGTACCCATCTCTAGGAAGTTATACTCTTTTCTAACCTAAAATTGAAGGATTGAATAAAAAAAACTTATTACCTATATGAAATGATGTTTAAGTGATTCTTGAAGTCCTATTAAATGTAATTACACAAACAATAATACTTTTATAGATAAGTTTTTATATTTTCTTCAGTTGGAAAGCTCTCCCCCTTCTCTCAAAGTAATACATATTATACTTTTTATGGTTTATGTATCTATAAATTATGACTGAACATTTCTGTAAACAATGAGGTTAAATTTATATACAAGAAATTTATCAAAGTTAATTATCAGTAAATAATTCCACCTTAGAGATTAATAGTCGTTAAAGCTTGTTTAGTTCCGACTAGACTTCCAAGCTATGTCTCTGATTGATAAAAATAATCCTGAATTAAATCCTACATATATGGTGGGAAATTTCCATATTTTATTCTGAATATATGCTTTTGATTGAAAAAATTATGATTAATAAATTCTGTTATTCATGCTAAGGTGGCCAAGTGTGATCGTGCTTAAGCCAGGAGTGGATACTCATTCAATCCCAGTCAATGACTTTTATATTGACTTTTATAAATCCATAGGATAAATTTAGTTCTTTCTATTTTGGCTAGAAGAGGCAAACCAATTGCATAACTTTTCTTGTCTTGATTGAAGTCCATACAGTAAAAAATGTAATACTAATGTAGATTTGAGTGATTTCAAGTACTGGAGTACTTGAACACCTTCAGTGCTCGAAACACGCCCTGACGATGACCCACATGTTTGGGTTGAAACGTCGGCACTGATAAAACTTTATAATGACTGTTTCCTGAATATTTATCACCCATGATATGTAGATCAGTCGATAAACTTCCTTCACTAATATAGATAGATAATTTATTTGTGTATTTTCTATCTGAATACATTGTTTTTTAATTAATTTTATTTTACTAGGTGAAGGACTTATACCAGAACCAGAAATTGAAAATATTAATCCTTCATTAAAAAAGGTTGGTTTATAAATAAATTAGTTTGTTTTTTTAAATTAACTTTCATCCTTACAAACATTGTATGCTGGACTAAAAGATTGTTTTTTTGTTGTTTTCTCGTTATTATTTCATTTTGAAAATATTTTGTAAATTAATTAATTCTATTACTTATAAAATTTTCAGGAATCTAAACCGCCTTTAAAATTGGTAATGAATCCTAGAGGTCAAGTACAAGATTTCTCGATGCTTAAGAAACAGGGATTTGTTGTCGATCCTTTGGCTCCGATGAGCCCAGATGTATGTTTCGATTTGGTTCGAGATCTCAATGCACCGCGAGGAAAAGGTGATTATTATTATTATTTTAATTTTTTAAATTTTTATTTGAAAATTAATACATTCTGCCACATTGGAGGGCATTAATATTAGGGCTACATTAAACATTCACACAGTATATGCATACAAATGATAACTAAAATAGAGATATTTTAATTTTTAAATATACTTTTATAAGAACATAAAAATGAAGTAGAGATAGTATTGTAATGCTATAATATTTAATATAAATACATTAATAACTATAATAGTTAATATAAATCCTTACTCTTATAAATTTAATAAGATTTTATGCACAATTATTTCAGATAACAATCTAGAACAATTATTAGAGATTCAGTCTAGCTATTTGTATTCAGCTGAATCCATCCAGATCTTTATATTATTTTTTTAAGAAATGAAAATAGAGATAAATAACTCAGAATTATGGTGTTTTTTTTTTCTTCCAACTATGAAATAAAATTACACCGATAGCCAGAACAATGTTTTAAAGATTAAATTTTTAGTTGAATGCAATCCTCACTCTATAACATTCAACATTTTTCTTTTTATTTCTAAATTGAAACTTCTGCTGACTTATTGATATATTTGATAATTTTGTAATAAAGAAAGATTAAAACATAAAACTGATATCAGAAGACTAGTAAAAAAACATTATCATATAGTTATTTTAAATAAATAAGGTAAATCAATAGAAAGTTACAAAATTAATTTTCCAAGTTTTATTTACTGTAAAAAGTAATTACAGAATAGAATTAAGTAATACAATGAATTAGAAAAAGAATGAATTGTACTTAATTTACTCGGTTTACGGGTTTTGCATTAAATTTGTATCGTATTGTATTTTAGGTGCAGAACTATTTGCAAAGCGACGTAAGAAGTCAGAAAATTGGATCATAGATGAGAACAACGTGAAGACTCCTGAAGCAACAATGATGCAACCGCCTCTGAGCAAACTCCCACCGCCATCTTATCTGCAAGGCTCAGCTCAGAGAGCGGAAAATGTTCAGAAAATGAATCAAATTCAGGTATCAAATATTGCGAATGATTTATCTCTTGCGTAATCTCACAATTTTGTATATGTGCAGACAAAATTTCATCTATTTATATCAAATCATTTGAGTTTCTTTTATTTAATGCAGCCACTGACAGTTATAGCCTTTCTTAAAATAGTTTTCAAACTTTTCCCTCACTTGATTGAATTATTCCTAATTATAATATTTTATTGAGAAAAAAAATACATTTTGCCTCAATTAAGGGCACTGAGTATTTATCATGTATGAAACACAAACATACCATATATACAGATTGAATTATTAATTTACTAAATTTAAAACATATATATATATATATATATATATATATATATATTTTAATTCTGCACAGATTAACAATTGAGGTTAGGATTAAAGGGATTCTACTGTATTTTGTTTATTATTACAGTAAGGTTTGTTTTAGCAGGATACACTTTCTATTATTAGAAGATTCAAAATAAGAATAATTCAATCTATTTTTTCATTTTCAATTATAATTCTATTTTTTAATATCGAAATGTGTGGAATTGTTCTCTCAAATTGAATTTTATATTTCAATCTTAACGTTTTAGGAAAAATTTTCACAACCGAGGCTGAAATTGATCAAATCTCCTTGGGAAGCAGCGCTTGAAGGTAGTGTAGAATCAGCTTTCCAAGAAGTGAGGCAGTCTCCCCGTGGGATCCTGATGGCTCCGACACCGACAACACTGAAACGTCTCACTACACCACCACCACCGTCACCGCCGATCATTAAAGATGAATTGTACAAACCCAAAACTCCGAAAGCTTGGAATCCACAGGGCCCGTGCAAAAGTTTCAGTGAGTATAATAATTGTCTGAGATGTTTTCTGTGCTGAATATTTTTTTGAAGTGAGACAAGGCAATTAAAAAATATTATAACAAACAAATCTCAATCATTATTTTTTACAAATAGCTTTTAAATGCAGCCTGCTGTACCAAAGTTGTGTTAAATTTTCTGCAAAATATATTTATTTGAATTTAATAAATGAAACGAACTTACTCCTCTGAAGAGTAAGCTTAAGTTATTGTTTGGCTAAATAATGCTTGTGTAGCTTCCTAATTTTGGTTTGAATTAGGGTAAATGCACCAGGAACTGGCATGCTTAAGGAAATTTCTTTTACATGTAAAAGCTTAAATATTGATATTATATTTATCATGAATTCATCTTATAGAACTATTTATCACCTTACTAAGGAATATTTCAAATCCATGAAACATTCATTTAAATTTAAAGAAAATTAATAATTAAGAGAATAGTTTTGTTGCACCAGTAGTTGACACTTTGAGGATATAATTAAGTGAAATTTTATATTCTTCATTTGAGGATTAACAAAAATTACCTTTAACTTATTATAAAACTAGCTTTTGTGTTTCCCGACTTAAATTTATCAATAAATGCTGGTCACTGTCAAGAACCTGTTTTAGGCAATAGGAAAACCTAGTTTTGCTTTAAATTTAATCCAAATCATTAGCATTTTTTTTTTAATGAGACAACAGTAAATGGTCTCTTATTTTTAAAACCCATTATGCTCAGTATATCTCTTTGAATTTATGAGAGTACAGGCCTGTCAACTACTAGCAAAAGGCTCCAGTAGCTGACACCCATTAAATTTCTAATTTGTTCATCAAGATAAGTTAAAAATAGATAAATCGTAATTAAAAAAACACTACAAAAAAAAAAATCAAACAAACATTTTGGGATAAATCATAGTAGTTAAATAGCAAAAGACAAACCTTACGTATGGTGCTCTTACTGACAGATGGTTGTTCCTGGGACATTAAGTGTACCGTGAGGGACCTTCCTAATTTGCCACTTATTATTTCAGTTGCGATTTTGCGATAAGACTAAAGCATAGCAGACAAATATACAAGGAGAAAATATATGAAATAGACTTATAGGAGATCCTGAAATTTCTTATTCCCATTTTTCGTGGAGGATGTCAAGTATTAGTACTCTGTCAGCTATTCGTGCTTTTACCCTGCAGTACTTAAAAAAAAGATTAGTTTAAAAGCACCAGTAGATGACGGTGTACCAACTGATAACTGACGTCCTCAACAAATGAGAATAATAAAATTTCAGGACCTCCTAGACCTCTATTTCATATATTTTTGGTATCTATATTTTCTCCTTGTATATTTGTCTGCTTTGCATTAGTCTTGTCGGAAATCGTAACTGAAATAATGGGTGGAAAATTAGGAAGGTCCCTCATGGTCAACTTACCGTCCCAGGAACAAACATCTATCAGTATACCATACCTTAAGTGGTTTGCCTTTTTCTCTTTAACTATTTAGATTTATTCCAATATTTTTGTTTTGTTGTTTCTTGGAGTGTTTTTAGATTATATTTTATGTTTTTAATTTATCTTGATGAAAAAATTGGAAATTTAATGGATGTCAGCTACTGAGCCTTTTTTCAGTATCTGACAAACCTGGATTCTCATGAATTCGAAGAAATGTACTGAATAAAACAGGTCTTAAAAATGGGTCCATTTATTACTCTCTCATTAAAAAAAAAAAAATAATGATTTGGATTAAATATAAAGCAAAAATAGTTTTTCCTTTTACCGAAAAGAGGTTCTTGACAGTGGCTTGCATTTATTGCATTTATTTAAGCTGGGGAACGAAATTAAATTAGTTTTATAATATGTTAAAGATAATTTTGTTAATATCCATTTTAAAATGAAAAATATAAAATTTCAATACTTTATTTCGCATAATTACATCCTCAGCTATAAGAACATTCCAAATCAAACAGTTTCAGCAACTGGTGAAACAAAACTATTTTATAAATTTATAATTTTTATTAATTTAGATGGATGTTACATGGATTTGAAATATATCTTGGTAATATGAGAAATAGTTCTATAAGATGAATCCAAGTAAAATATAATAACATTTATATTTAAGTTTTTACACGTAAAAGTTCAAAGAAATTTCTTTAAGCGTGTCAGCTACTGGTGCATTTATCCTAAAAAAACTCTAATTTTCATTTGATACTCTCAAATTAATATTGATCTGAAGAAACTATCCCAATGTTGTAATATAACAGGATTACTAACTGCTCACTGTCATTAATTCTCTTGCTGTACAAACTAGATTATTAATTAATTACATTTAGTCACAAATTGCTTTCGTCTCTAAATTAGTATTACATAGAGTATTATTAACATGCCTATAACTATGGTAAATATAAGAAAATGAATAAACTAAAAATTAAAATAATATTATATATTTACTAAATTCATGGACATAGCTTTTTGGAGTATCTCATTTCTTACAACTCTAAGAACTTATATTTTTTGACTTAAGAAAAAAATAAGTATTGAAGCGGTCTCGTGACTAATTGTTATTATAATTTCCTTCTTGAAAGAATAGTTTGGTTTAATTTACATTTAAAAATAGGTATATCAATTTTTATTCCATTCACTCAAAGTGATTTTACAGTGAACAAAACATTTCCAAAAATTTATAATGTTGGTTTTGAAGTACAAAAAAAAATATTATTTTTTTTTTTTTATTCCATTCCCACTTAGTGATTTTACTGTGAATCTAAGATGATATGAAGTTTCCCATTTAAAATGCCAATCCATTGTAATAATGAAATAAGAGATTAGAAGAAATTTTCAATTTTTTATTTATTTTAGCAGGATTCAAGTTGCATATTGATCTCATGTTTTGACATTTCTCACAAAATAATATAATGGAGAATATGACTCTGTCTTATTACATTCTGTTTAAATTAAAATGAATTGTAAATAGTTAATTTAAGGATTATAGTTCATTTGTCCTTAAGATTTAATAACTGATCAAAGTAATACAAAAAAATACTTTTAATATAGAATCTAAATTAAATAAAAAAGATAATCTGTTTCTTTTTTAAATAATTTAAAATAATTTGATGTTAGATTGTGTTAAATAGGACATCTTGCAAGAACAATATTTTTCTATGGTTTTATACAAATCCATATGTTTCTAATTAAATTTAGTGTTATTAACTTTACTTAGGTTCCGTGAAGCTGGAAAAAATCTTTGCTGGATCCCCAAGATCTCCAATCAGTTTGGCCTATGATCCAGAAACAAACAGAATATGTACTGAGCCTGTGATTGTTGAAAACATACCTCCTATTGCAACTGAACTATCAGGATATGAAGTTTTTGATGAATCAATCCTTCAGGCACCAAAAACCAGGAAACCCCATGAATTTCTCATATATGAGCCAATCGTTTCTAAAACCATGGAAGCTTCTAATACAAAAAAAGAGGATCGTGCTATTGTGCAAAGTAATAATATCACATCGTTACAGAAAGAAGACAGCAAAATACTTCATGATGAAAGCAAAATAGTGCATGATGAAAGCAAAATACTGCACGATGAAAGCAAAATATTACATGATGAAAGCAAAATGCTGCATGATGAAAGCAAAATATTACATGATGAAAGCAAAGTGCTGCATGATGAAAGCAAAATACTGCATGATGAAAGTAAAATGTTTGATGAAAGCAAAAGAAAAAAAGCCTCACAAACAATAGAAAAAAAAGTAACATTTCGTTTAAATGAAGAAATTGAAACATCTTCTATTGATACGAATTCAGAAGAGATCTATGAAGAGCAGCACTCGGTTCCTGCACAAAATTTGCCTTATGTTGGTTTACCAGAACAGAGGCGATCTTCAAAAAGTGATGAACCTGAAAGTGACGATAATTTATTAAGCAAATCACAAGAGGTACACAATATTATTAAAAATCACAGTTTTGCAGAAGAAATTAAACCTTCTGAAACAGCTGGATTGCCATTGGTATCTAGTTACATCTCTGATAGTACATCCTCGACTGCTGTAAGTAGTAACACACACTTCTCTCAAGAGAGCCAAGTATCACAAAAAACAGATTGTTTCAGTCATTTACAATTTGAGCAAGAGAGTAAATCTGCAGATGAAGAAGTTGAAGATCTGTGTGAAAGAGAGTTTAATGAACTGAGCTTAGAATATGAAAAAGTACAAAAGTATGAAGTTAAGAAACCTGCTGCACAAGTACCTGGGGCAGTTCCAATATTTGCTGGTGTCGATTTCAGTGGAATAAACAAGCCAGAACCTGCCGTTCACGTTGAGAAAAAGTCGTTTAGAAAACCTGGATCCCTTGTTCCTGGTGCCAAACCCTTGTTTGGGAGTGCTATTGGGGATATTCATGTTTCAATAAATGAATCAGATGGACCTGATAAACCTTATGAAAAAATACCAGTGAAAAGTTTAATTAATACGTTTGAACAAAGCACAAGGCCCCAAATGAGATATAAACAAATGCAGGATAAAATACCCGATGCCGTTTCACCAAATAAATTCCTTTATAAAGAAGTACACAATGAACAGAAAGTAGAATTTGAAGAAAAAGTTAAAAAAGAAGAAGTCAGTTTTTCTTCCTTAACAGAAAATTTATCGTATGATTCTTCTTCAAGAACAAACCTGGAATTTTCAAGAGATACTGTGAAAGATAAAATTGACAATATGGATGAAGAAGAAATTCAGCGAATTCAACAACACTATGAGCTTCAAAAACATAAAAAGGAGATTTATGATCAACAAATGCAAAAATACAAAGAAGAAATGAAAAAATTGAGGTCTACCAAGGTTCAAGTGAAAGAAAGTGTGGAGAAAAGTACAAATAAATTTCATGAAAAAGAGACTTATGTTTCAAAGCTTCCGGCTTATGAACAACAAAATTTTAATAAAGGAACTTACAGAGAAGACCAAAACAGTTTAATGCCTAGGAGTGAGTCTTTCAGAATGATAAATGTTTGGTTATTTACTTTTTTTTTTTGTTACTAACTACAAATCTATGAATATAGACTCGTTTTGCAAGTTGTCCATATCTAAATTATGTTATCCTGGCATTAGTTCACCATGTGTTTGTTAAACTGTTGCATTTACCTGTAGGTTTTTCATTTGTTTGAGAACGTCAAGGATTGGATTGTGGAATCGTGATCTATCATAGTGGATGTCGCATTTTAATGGTTACCTCATAAGTTTGTTTATTCCCTTCTGTTTTTTTATTTATGTGTTATTGTAAGGTTTTGCATGGCACAAATTATTATTATAATTTTTGAGCAGTTGAATTTCAGAACTACCATAAGCCACTCTTATGAATATTAAAAATATTAACATTATGTAAAATTAAATACCTTTTTTTAAAATACTAGTCCTTCATTAAAAAATTTAAAATTCAGAAAAGTAATTTATTAAATGCTCTTTCATTTCTAGCTTTATTGCACTTAATCAAATACTACATTTGAGATACTGCTTAATTAGTAATTTTACTTAAAATCTACAAATAGAGAGACATATCTCGAACAATATTTATATAAATAATAAATATTAGACATCTTGAAGTAATAATAATAATAAAAGGCTAAAAGGAGGTATATATTATAATTATCAACCAAATATAATTAAATAGAATAACATTAATATCTATAAAAAAAAAGTTTTCAATTATATTTAAAAAAAATTAAATTTTATTATTCTTTTATTCTGACTCTTTAAATATTATTTGTCTCCTTCCCTGAAATTTTGAAGGGATCTTATATGTCTGTTCATTGAATTATGTAAATAGAAGACAAGTTTTTGTACTTTAGTTTATTATTATTTTTACTCTATTTAAACAGATCCATAAATATCTAAGGAATAATATTCATTTTAACTCTCAATAAGAAAACAAACCAATTAATGGTAATATGCTTTGATTACGTTTTTAATAATTAAGAAATCTAAGCAATCCATTTCTTTTATGAGCGTAAATAAATTTCAACCTGCCCAGGCTTGAATCAGTGTCGCTAGATTCGAGAATGTTAAAGTTTATGCTTTAACATACTCGGCCGTACAATCTTTAATATACACTAGTTATCAGCATATTGGCAGATATCCAATGGATAATTAATTTACAATTGAATCTATTTACTTGTGTTTTGAAAGCATGAGTATATAAACCCTTTTCTTGTTTATTTACTTCCTTTCCAGTTGAAGTATGTAATTTTTATTTGTACATGAACAGCATGATAAAATTATAGAATAGCACATTATTTATTTTCTGCTACTTCATAACTCGAAAATCACTAATAAATAAATACAAAACTTTTCAGTAAAAGTATTTGAAGCAATAAATATTGCAATTTGTCTCAAAAGCTCAAATATTATACCTTCTCGATAAAAGTTCTAATCATATGTGGAATCAATTAAAAAATCATGATTTTCGAATTATGACATTGCTACAATGGCAATGTATTGATGGTTTTAAGACATTTATTTTAAAAATATCTCTATCTAATAAAGTTCAAATTATGATACGAGTTTCATCAATGGAATTTTAAATTATGATAAAATAAACGTTATTTATAAAAATAAAAATTTTTAATAAAAAAAAATTACAGAAAAGTGAACCTAACTGAAACACAATATTGGCATTACCCTCATAGCTTTTATTAATAATTGTTATTCTATTATAATGAAATGTTTATTCAAACTCACTTACTTTTCATACTTTAAATATCGTACAGAAATAAATTATCAGGGAAATGTCTATGCAGGAATCTTAATGCAGGAAAAATATTACTAATGGCAAACATTATAATCATGAACAAACTCTACTTTAATTTGGAATTTTACCATTACATCATTTCAATTTTTTTTTTTATATGTTGACTACTTTTGCAGTGTACAATATACTTGTAACTTGTTAGGGATATATATATATTCCCCTTCATGATATTGACAACTCTATACAATGTATTTTGTAATATTTTCATTTTAATACCTATTGACGATTTTTACCATTCTAGGTGAAGAAAGTGCTCCTATAGTGCAGACTGCTTCGTATCAGCCGGCAGCTTATTCTTCCACATCGCAAGTGACACATTTAAATTATTCTGGCTTGAACAACTTCAACACAGCACCTCGCGGCTGGCAGAAAAGCATGTCATATTACAGGCCTGTTAAATTCAACCAGACCTCTCCTGGGGTTACCGACTTCTAAATAATGGTCTGCCGGAAGTCGATGCAGGATTTTATTTTTATCTGTTTTTAAAATTATTTAACCAAAGACAACTCAAGTGAGTGTCCATTTCAAAGACTTATGATTGTGAAAAACAATATCACTGAATTTAATATATCTAGTGAACATTGTGTTTAACAACCGTCTACATTGTACAGGTACTTTTAACTGTTTTTTTTTTTTTTTTGTTTTGTTTTATTTATTGTCTATGATAAAATAATTAAGTTATTATTGTGTTTATTTTAAAATGTTAAAGCATTTCAGAATTAAATATCTTTTTTATTTACCTGTTGTTTTATTTTGGTCTTTCTCACCTCACATCATTTTGGGGCAGTGATTTACTAACTAATTTACTTTTTATTTAATTTCTTCGACATTTTTATAATCCAAGAGTCGATCTGTACTTTTGTGACTTATTTGAAGAAAACTTTTAGTCATACTTCATTATAATGTCCACCCACACTATTAAATTTGCACTAGTCGACCAAAGCAGGAACATTTCAAAATGACACTCATTGAAAAACGTGAACTAAATAGGTAAAAATTGCATTATTAGAAGATGATTTTTTTTATTCAACAAACAATAGATGCCAAGAAACATTGTTGAAATTGGGAGTGGGCATCACTCTGGCAGGTAAAACTCAAAATTAATCTTTTTCCCTCATAGTGCTCTGTTGCAAATACTTTCTTTCAAGTATCAATATATATTTTTTTTAAAAAACACGAGAAATGATCATTTTTGTATTTTGTTTTAGCAAATATCATGGGAGCTGTTAAAAATAGGGATAATTATGATAAGCTACAGTAATTATAAACATGATTTACCTTCCTTTTTACTTTCACTTACGTATATATGTAATATTATAGTAAGGGGGAGTATTGCGATCATAAAAATTTTCGAATATGAGTTTTCGACGGAATCAACAACACGTTTTGAGGTCCCCTGAGTGCCAATAACCAAGTCCCGCAAAATAGCCTGTGTATATTATTAGTATAGCTCAAATACGAAAAGTCGTATGAAAGTGAAATTGTATATTTCAGGTTTGTATATGCCTTTTTTTTCACAATTGGCTAACTAGAAATGCCACTTTATATCAACGTTGATACACATTTTTACAATTTTCTCAAAAACGGCTCTTAACGATTTTGATTAAACGTGGTGTATCATTATATAATTAAGTGGTCTTTAATAACATTGAGGTCTTATCCCCATTGATGTCACTTTACAGAGCTTAAATGCTTAACATGTCTTCTTCTAAAGTACCTTCAATTTGGTTCATTTTAAATAATCAACTATCTTGCATTATTAAGAGTTACAAAAAAATGCTAAATATAACTTTTGAAAGAATTTGATAATTGAAAAATGAAGAAAAAAGGGAAAATATTTATTTAGATCAAAAATGAATATCCTGAAATACTAGTCAGAAGGGTACATATAATATATTGTTGGAAAGCAGAGAATTTTAGAAAAAACAACATCTAATAGAGAAAGTCGTAGTAAGTAATGGAAAGTGACGAAAAATTATAAATAATAACTAATGAATACTAATAATATTTAATCTAAATCACATGTTTTTAAGGAAATTAAATAAGATTTACTAACTAAATGTAAACTTTTAAAAAATTTTAAGTTTGAAAAAGTATTTAAAATCCACCAGATCAAGGCAATAACATTGTTTAAAAGACTATTTCTTGAACGATTATGTACTCCAATAAAGACAGAATATGAAAATTATGATGCAATGATCTACAATCGTATTATGAATTTGTTTTCAAGAATTAAAATTAATAACAATAAAAAATTAACATGCAGAATTTTTTTTTTAAGTCAAAAGTATTGTAAAATAAAAATTAATATTGCAGGAACATCTCGATGGATCTTAATACTCCAAGAAATTGTGAGATTTGATTTCATGTCCAAATAATGGCATCACATTATGTTATCTCTGTAGATTTGCCAAGATATATCACAAATATACAACTACTACATCATATATCCTGGAAGCTTCCAGGATTATTAATTTCTAGAGTAAGAATTTCGAGCGGGTGAGTGAACCATCTTCAAAAATTCTCAAATTTTTCATGTGGTTTCCAGGGATTATAAATAGCAATAAGCCCACCAGTTTAAAGGGATACTGCAGTATTATTAAAATTTATCTTTTTTAAATCCATAAACCATTTATTTATAAAGCAATTAATTAGTTGCAACCAAATTACTGTCGATGTTTAGTTTATTTAAAATAATAATCATCTTTTTTTATTCTTTTTAGAGTAATAAAAAGGGTTATCATTATATAATAGATTAGTCAATGATAAATAACTTAAATAAGCAAAAGAATCAAGTATTTTTTTGTTTTTGCTTTTATTTTTAAATACAATGATTTTTCCATTAAAAAAAAAAAAAACTTTTGTAACAAGCTAACTATTTTTTTATTTATTTTATTTAATGTCCTTGTTCTTATTGGATATCAAGCAACATCAGTCTAAGATTTCATAGCGAAACTAATATGATAATCTTAAAAACTACCAAAAGTAAACAATGCATTATTACTTCTAAGTATTCAAACACATCAACCACAATTTAAGATATAGTACTTAAATGAACAAATGTTTATATAAAACAAAAAGAAGGCAATAGTTAGATAATGAGTATGAAAAAATTAACAAACGCGTTACACATATTTTTATTTTAGAAATAAAATAATACAAATAATTTTCTATTGAAAAATTGTGAATTAAAAAAATGTTTAAAAATGAATCAATGAATTATTGCCTATGAAGAACAACTCGCAGCAAAGAGTTGGTTGTTTAACAATTCAATAGTAATTATTTAAAAATAATATTAAGATCCTTCTTATAGAATGAATACAATATATACATAAATATTCACAAAATAATAATAAATAAACAAAATACTTTACATTTCCATCATGTGTGTGGTCGAAATAAAGTAGAAATGACAATAATACTGATGATAAAACTTTAGGTAGAAACTATTAATGAAATACAGAAAGGTTGTCTTTGGTCTTATGCATTTGACAGAAGTTTTCTGATTTTTAGTCTACACAAGGCGAAGTGAAAGAGCTTGTTGATTTCTTCATCTTTATCTTATGTAAGAATGTATGTTAATTTGTCTATTATGTAATTAATTATTTATTTATTATATAATTAAATCAAAGTTGTGAATAACTAGGCCAATGAATTTTGGGCTGTAATGTTGCAGTATTGGGCATGATAGAATAAAGTGAGATATTGATTCTTCTCCTTTGTAGCATAGAAGGCACAAAGAAAACTTAAATTTTATAGTACACTTTTGAATATAGAATCGTGTGCTTTGGTTACCACTTAATCATAATTGAGCCATTAGTCTGATTTTGTCTATGCAGATTTTTGAATTGAGATATTTTTCACCACTTTCCAGGAATCTTATGTGTCCATAAAGGGTGTTAGATGTACTGTATAGGGCATTTTCAATACCCATACAATGCATGGAGTTTTGGAATTTTTTCATGAGATTAATATAATCATCTCTAGTCAATGCCTTTTTAGCCATATATGTTCTGATCCTAATATTATTAAATAATTTTTGAATACTGCTGTCTAGCTGAATGGTGCTGGAGATTTTTGAGTCAAAGGTAGCACAATTTCGTTAGGTCTGCAGATGGCTTTTCCAAAATAGGCACTGCCACCAATTAAGCATTCGTTTAAGTATTTTATGCTTCATGCAAGTTTTTCCTGTTTCCAACCTGACATGACTGCTTGAGTTATTTATCGGTACATGCAAAATGTGTTTTAAGTATGGCAGTCTTAATTAAGTATTCCAGTCTCCATATGCCAGACATATATAAAAGGATACTTGGCTACTTTCTGAGATTGACTCAAAAAGTTTTGTTTTGGTTATCAATGTGCCAGACTTGCAGTTCTGTAATACCTTTAAAACAGTTGAGTTTGTGTTTATACATTTTTTTTAGGAAATGATGGCAGCTGAAGAGATGGGTAAATCTTTTCTCTTCTTGTAAAATAGTATTCATATATTTCATGGTATATACAAATAAATAATATATTTTGAGAAACCACCAAAAGCAAATTAAAACCAACTATTGGAAAATTGAGTAGTAATTTCAATAAACTGAGTAATATTTTTATTTTTCCAATTCCATTAGTGAACATCATATAACAATCTCAATTTATTTCAAAGCCTATTCAAATGAAAGTGCCATTTTCCAACTGAAAACAACAATCAGAAAAACAGTAAAGGTTTATTATTTATTATATGACTAAAACCTAATAATAAAATGTTTAAATTTTATAAAACCAGACTCCACACTAATTATAGGCCCCTTTAAATTTTCACTTAATCACTATTGGGTCGACACCATAACTGTCGGTATATGAAAGTTGAAAATGCAGATTAATAGCACTAGGTCAAAACTATTGTATTACACAGTTTAATAACATCAAAATTCAGTGAATTAGCATCTCCAAAACTCTAACTCCGATGATTTTTTTATAGTTATAATAGTTAAACCGGGCAATAAAGAGAAACAAATTATGTTGGCGATATACAATTTAACATAGTAGATATATCTTATGCTCTATATCAGATATATGCACTAATAGTTTAATTCACCTGTCTTATCAAACTCAATCTCCAGTTTGGATTTTTCGAACTATAGACTTACAAGACCTCCCAACATCATATTAACCCAATTTCATTTATCTTTTTCTCATAATTTTTATGGTTCAGGGTGGTAGAATTACTGATTCTGAACTAAGAGAAAGAGAATTTTTGGATAAAATAGAGCCAAATGTACAAATTATGGTTGTTGACAAAGTATAAAGTCGCTAAAAGTATGAGCTTTTCAAAAACTCTGTCCTTGGCCAATATTCACTTGGTAAATATTTATCAATTCAGATATATTCTTAAAATTGAAAAGTGTTTTTTAAAAAGTGAATGTTTTATGCAGTAATGTCATTACTGCATGTTTTATGCATAATAATGTCATTATTATGTTTTTTTTTTAAATTTGCTATAGCAACACACTGAAACTATTGTATTTTCTGACATTTTTCCACTTTTCTTGTACAATTACAATTGAATTTTTTCCTAAGTTTATATTGTTTATACTATGTTTGAATTAATTGTATCAGATAAGTCAATCAAGTTTTTTTTTTATTCTCTCATATTGTGTTAGAAATTAAGGACTTTGATATAAATTGTTATAGTTTTTAAATAGTTAATAATAATACATAATATTGATAAGAAAATCTGTACATTGTAAATAAATGAATAAAATATTTTAATTATATTCAATAATATATTATATCATATGTATTATATTCATTATGTAATATTTGAATATGTACCTACATAAGTCTAGATTTTGGTAAATGGACAACCAATTCCAAAGTGTCATGTAAACTGAATTAAGTAAATGCAGACATCATGAAGTTTAGTGAGTTATACATACTTCTAAAATTCAGTAACCAATTATACCAACTCAGTTCCGTCAAAAAGTTGTTTGAAGATTATATTGCTATAAAATAAAGTACCTAATTACATAGAAATATTCCTGGAGAAAGGGGCACTTCTCCAAAATATTACTGTAACACTCAGAATTAACAAATAAACAAAACCAAAAGGGATTCTAGTTGTGTTAAAGTTGCTAGTATTTATACTTAGGGTAAAGATTGATTGTTAGTAACGCTGTTACTAGTTTTTACATCAAATTGAAATTCTTTTTATATTCTAAATCAATGGATGTGTTGATTAAATTGGTTTAGGTGTAGTAACATGTAGTGGAATTAATAGAGCAGAAGTTGTCTTTATTCAAGGATGTAGGCTTTTAGCAATAAGTTCATTATATCTTATCTGATAGCCTTGAATTATCATAGATTAAGATAAATAAAAGTAGGCATTACTTTAAAGAACTCCATCAGAGATACAAAATCCAACTTTAGAACTCCATAATTATACAGATTTTATATTATAAAATGTTCTAAACTATTTGTTTTTACTGTATGTAACTAGAACATAACGGTTAATAATTTAAATACAGCTTTAAAAAAAAAAAAAAAAAATGAAAACTACTATAATTTAAGAGGTGGGAATGACAATTTTAATAAATCAGTAAATTGGAATGTTCACAAACTAATATAATATTTCTTACTTATAGTAAACATCAAGTCAAACATGTATTATTTCCTAATAAAGAGAACTTGGTTCAAATTTCCATGCTGTCGAATTGTTGCTCTAGCTTATTCATTTCAGATCTTAAATATGATAATCAGATAATAAATTGGTTTTGTAACTTACCTTCTTTTTTCATAACACCTTAATTTCCAGATAATTTCTAATTAGCCACAAAAAATATGTTTATATATTTATTTATCTTCATCTATATTATTTTCTAGCTCCTAATGTCATTTAAAAATAACTTAAAAGCCTGAACCTAATTTGTGTAAATTGTTTTCAAACATTCTCTATAAAACCTATTTAGAACATAGTAGTTTAAATAATAATTAAAAATATATTTTATGTTAAATTTCAAATATATCCTATGATTGAATAGATCACTAATTCTTGTGGAAAGATAAAGTTATTTTGTACTAATAAGTAAATAATAACTCATTTTAAGTGATTAATGTACAATGCAAATTAATGAGCAATGTACACAAACTAATATAATATTTCTTACTTATAGTAAACATCAAGTCAAACATATATTATTTCCTAATAAGGAGAATTTGGTTCAAATTTACATGCTGTCGAATTGCTTGTCGAGCTTATTCATTTCAGAACTTTGATCAGATAATAAATTAGTTTTGCAACTTACCTCTGTTTTTTTTTTCCATATCAACACCTTAATTCGTAAACCAGATAATTTCTGATTTGCCCACAAAAAATAAGTTTATATCTTTATTTACCTTCATTGTTATGTTATTTTTGTTGTTTTTCTATGTCCAAGTCATTCAGAAATAGCTTAAAATCCTTCATCTATTAATTTATGAAAATTTCTTTCAAATTTTCACAACAGAACTTATTACAACATAGTAGTTTAAATTGCACTTAAAATCATATTTTATTTTAAATTTCTAATAGTTCATTTCATAGAATAGAACACTCATTATCATGGACAGGTGAAATTATTTGATTCCAGAATAAGTAAATAATAATACATTTCAAATGATTAAACATATTTATTATATTTTTTTTTTTACATTTCTCTATTATACGTTTCATCTCCTCAATTTATTGTTAATTCTATGATTACTTGAAAGAATATACGATGAATCGAGTATTCCCGTAATTAAATAATCAATAACGCACATAAATAATGATGGTTCAAATAATTTTAACACCGATCAATAAAACCAAAAAGAATACCGATATATTGATTATTTACAATAGTAGTTGAAATAAAGGTCAAAAGATAGCAGCACCAATCAAAGAACTTTTAAAATTATAGTTCTATTTAGCCCCTATAGAGGCCAGCACCATCCAGACATGAATTCCAAAGTCGAATCGCTACAGAATATTTTTCAATTTGTATTAGGATGGTGGGAGGTCAAAGGAGCTCAACTAGTAGGTCAGCTAAAGTGCACATGTACTTGTAGTTCTAAAGACTGCCACAAGACGGCAGCACTGTCGGGCCAAGGTATGAGCTCTACCGAGTGAGCTCCTTTGACCTCCCACTATCCTAATACAAATTGAAAAATATTCCGTAGGAATTTGACTTCGGAATGCATGTCTGGATGGTGCTGGCCTCTATAGGGGCTAAATAGAACTATAATTTTAAAGGTTCCTTGATTGGTGCTGCTATCTTTTGACCTTTATTTCAACTACTATTGTAAATATTCAATATATCAATATTCTTTTTGGTTTTATTGACCAGTGTTAAAATTATTTTGAACCATCATTATTTATATGCGTGATTGATTATTTAATTACGGGAATACTCGATTCATTGTATATTCTTTCAAGTATTCATAGAGTTAATAATAAATTGAGGAGATGAAATGTATAATAGAGAAATTATAATAAATATGTTTAATCATTTGAAATGTATTATTATTTACTTATTCTGGAATAAAATAATTACACCTTTCCATGATAATGAGTGTTATATTCTATGAAAGGAACTATTAGGAATTTAAAATAAAATATGATTTTAAGTGCAATTAAGACTATTATGTTGTAATAAGTTTTATTGTGAAAATTTGAAAGAAATTTTCATAAATTAATAGATGAAGGCTGCTTTTAAGCTGCTTAAGAATGACTTTTGGACATAAAAAACAACAAAAATAACATGAGGAAGAAGGTAAATAAAGATATAAACTTATTTTTTGTGGACAAATCAGAAATTATCTGGTTTACAAAGTAAGGTGTTGATATGAAAAAAAAAAAAACAGAGGTAAGTTACAAAAATAATTTATTATCTGATAAAAGTTCTGAAATGAATAAGCTCGACAAACTATTCGACAGCAGGGAAATTTGAACCAAGTTCTCTTTATTAGGAAATAATATGTTTGACTTGATGTTTACTATAAATAAGAAATATTATATTAGTTTGTGTACATTACTATTTTGAACCATCATTATATTTATGTGCGTGATTAATTATTTAATAACAAGAATACTCAATTCATTGTATATTCTTTCAAGTACTCATAGAGTTAATAATAAATGGAGGAGATAAAATGTGTAATAGAGAAATGTGAAAACAATTGTAAAAAACATAAATTTTAATCATTTAAAATATGTTATTATTTACTTATACTAGGATAAAATAATTTCAGCTGTACATGATAATGAGTGTTATATTCTATGAACTATTAGAAATTTCAAATAAAATATGATTTTAATTACTGTTCAAACTACTATGTTGTAAGTTTTATTGTGGAAATTTAAAAGCAATTTACATTAAGTAATAGGTTAAGGCTTTTATGCTGTTTTTAAGTGACTTCTGGACATGACAAACTACAAAAAGAATATGCCGATGAAGGTAAATAAAGATTTAAACTTATTTTTTGGGGCAAATCAGAAATTATCTGGTTTACTAATAAGGATATTGATATATATAAAAAAAAGGTAAGGTACATAATCAATTTATTATTTGATCAAAGGTCGGAAATGAATAAGTTAGAAAAGCAATTTGATAGCAAGGAAATTTGAACCAAGTTTACTGTACCAGAAAATAATATGCTTGAATTGTTGTTTATTATAAGGAAGAAATGTTTCATTAGTTTTTGAATATTGAATTTATTTTAACTATTATTTTGAATAATCAATTTGTCAGTTTTGTTTCATAATAATCTAAACTCTATTATAAGTGTCCATAACTGTGACAAATTGTAATATTTCTGAATAAAGTGTTTTAATAATAAAAAAAAATAATCTAAAAACTAAATCGGGTTTCGCCTTTAGTTTATATATTTAAATTAATTGACAGTGCATTTCGCTTTTTTATGTACAATACAACAATTTATATATAAGCTGATTAAAAATTAATAAAATATGATGATTTTCAAATAATTTAACCGAATTCATATTAGAGTATATGTAGGATAAAAAAAAATATTGGCACATATCTTTTTATTTGTTTCATTTTGAAAAAAAAAACTTTATATTTTAAACACTTTCATTTCATAGAGGATTCAGAAAAATATACAATTAAAGGAGAAATATTAAAAATTTATTAAGAAAACGCTCAAGTAAAAAAAAAAATCACTTTTACGCAGTCAAAACCGTATTGGCACACTTTTATTTATTTGTGTTTAATGTATATTTATAAATTGAGTTATTTATGAACTGAATACTTTTAATATTTTGTTATTGTACTATGTGCATCTATAACAGCCTATTGTCCTTAGTGAAACAATATTTTGAGCCATTTCTTATCCAATTTTACACTATCCCTCAGACTAAGTTTCTTTTAACACAGTTTTTGAAGAAATTTCATTTTTTTTTTCTTGCATTCAGGTTTAACATATAGCACAGGTGTTCTATTGAATTTATTTCCGAAAACTGTGGAGATGTTTTCAATTGAATGGGAACGTTGTATGCCATAAATTCTTTTCTTCTATTTACTCTGTGCTTGGCACCATTGTTTTGTTAAAATAAATATACTCCAGCTTTTCAAAATGCCAACATATTTTTCTGCAATATGTTACAACATATTTACATAGTTAATAAAGGTAAAATTGCTTGTATCATTCCTCGACGTGTACCTCCAAACTAGAATACTTCGACTTCTATGTTTTACAGTGGGCCTCACATGCCAGGCTTGTTGCTCACCATTAGGTTTTCAATTGAAAATTATTAAAATAGATTAAGAGTCAAGTGTTTTCAAATGGTGTTTGCATCTACAACAATATGAAATATATACAAAAAACTTTTTTTTCTATTCTACCTAATTTAACTTTGCAGTCATAATTACCAGTTTGTTTAAAATGTTGTAATGATAATTCAATTGTCGTAGATAAGTGTCCATTTTTAAAAAGTTGAGAAAAAAAACAATTTGTGTAACATAATAGCTTAAATTTAAACCAATTCTAATGATTTTTTTTTTTCTATGATTTAACTTCGACATACTTAAATAAAATAATCAAAAACAGAATGACCTTTTAACAAAAAATTGACTTTTTCTCCGCTTTCTGAAAAAGACAGATGTCTGTATTTGATATGAGGTCACTCTTTTACTGAGTTTAAATAAAAGCATTATATCTTTATTAAATAAGGTTAAAATATTGATTCTTCATTAAAAAAAAAAGCAGTTACCAGATTGCTTCAAAATGCTATGGACTCTTTGATATTATTATCGTAGACATTTTTATTTAAAGTTCTATAAAAATAAATTGCTTGTCTCTATCAATGAAAAGCAGCATTAATTGAAGATATTTAAATTGAACCAATATGATAATATAAAAACTATCAAAATTACTCATTGGATCAACATGTAAGTATTCAAACACATAATTACAAAATATAATTGAATCAGTTATTTATGAAACAAGACATAACATTTTTACAATTCTGTAAACACTGCAAAAAATTTGAAAACGTGTTCTCTTGCGTTAAAGATGTGTATATAAACAAGGTATCCAGAGAACAGATCTAAACTTGAAACCAGTAAAACATTATACATGTGCTGTTTTTTAAATAACCGATTCACTTAAAAAAATTATAATTAAATGAATAATTATATAAATAGAACAAAAATTATATAATAATTGGATAAGGTGGGTGAATAAATACAAAAATAAAATAAATGCATTACACTTCTTTTTATTTTAGAAATAAAATAGATATAACAAATAATTTTCCATTGAAAAATTACAAATATAAAAAAAAAAACTATAAAAATAAATAATATATTCCGTGAAACAACGGAAACCAAATTAAAACAAATATATAAATATTGGAAAATTAAGTAGTGATTCCAATAAACCGAGTATTTTTTTTTCTTTTTCTTTTTTTCCAGTCCTACTATCGATGCTCCTATGAAAGACCATTCCAAAGCCTCTTCACATTAAATGTAGAAAGTGCCATTTTCCAACTGAAACAAAAAATCAGAAAAGCGATTGTAGGTTAGATATTTATTTTTAAGTAACTAAATAAAAATTAGAATTAAAATTTCTATATTTTATGAAATCAAGCTACACACTAATTGTTGCCCCTTAAATGATGAACTAACCATTATTGGGGTCATATAAAACCCAAACAGCTCTCAATGAAGGTTGAAAATGCAGATCAAAGCTTTTTTATTATAAGTACAATTTAATGACATAACAAATTAATGGATTAGAACCCTCAGATTTCTATAACTCTAAAGCATTTTGTTTAATATAATCCGTACATATATTATTACAGTAAGGCTCGAAATCGGTTTTGTACCAAATATAAGCTCCTGTCATGCTCAAATACCATGAATGAAGTACCGTTGGATTCAGAATTTCACGGGGGGTTAGCGAATCGTATTCTCCACTTTTGTTTTTCTTTCTAAAATAAATAAAGTCGATACAAATATTTCGCTAGGCTTCAATACCTGAACGGTGGTAGGTATGTAGATCGATACGGGACAAATTGGATGTTGAAGATTTTGATGCATACAGCAAGACCGGATAGTTCCTCCGGAACTATCAGATCCTGCGGTTTTAAGCCCCAAAACATACTATTTTCGAGGTAACGCAAGGCATAGGCTTCTCATCCACACAACCTTACATTAATTGTAAAACCGTCATTGAATACATGTCTCATTTCGTCGACTTGAGATCGATGATCGAGAGACGAGGAGTTTATATTATTTATCGATGGTGTTTTTGATCGGCAAGCCATATCATCGTCAATTTTTCACCAAATCTTAAGATTGAGCCACCAATTTCGAAGGGTTCCTTCTCCTTCAGGTGGGCAAAATAGTCTAATCACCCCGAAAATTCAGGCAAACAAGTTATGAAAGAAAACAAACTTTATTTGCAAATAACTAAAAAATTACACATTTTTCCCTTGATTATGCCTGTGATTATATAATAGATTACTAAATTTTCTACAAAAGGAAAAAAAAATTATTGAAATCGGACAATTATTAGCAAAGATACAGCTTACTAAAATTTGTAAACATGCTGGTTCCAAACAAAAATGTTTGATCATTTTTGTTTTCTTTGTCAATTATATTTATTAAAGTAACATTTGATTTCTTTATCTTTTGATACGTTGCATTATTTTATTTTATTATTAATTTCGCATTTGATAACAATATATGCTGTGCGAATTTTTCGCACGGGCCTACTAGTATTAATAATTTAACTCGAGCTATAAACATAAAAGTAGAACTAATCCTTGTCAATTTGGTTAGTAGGAATTTATCAAACACAGATCTCGAGATTAGTTTAGAAACAAAACTGATATTTTTTCTTAAATCTAATTTTGGAGATTTTTTCTTTTAGTTGTCAACGGAAAGCATTTTCCTTCATCATGGATAAGGACTTGAAGCTATAAACCAACTAGGAAGCTTATTATTTACATTTGAAGGCCAAAATATCCATCAATGGGTCCTCTGACCATAACTGGTGCGCTCACCCTAGTTAATCTATTTCATTGTTTTTATCCATTGCTCATGAATTAAAAAGAGCGAATTTTCTTTTACCATCCATTCAGTATAACTTTTCACTTTTTCACAGAGTTTAACATTCTGCCCGATTCGATTTTACAATATTTCCATTAACCTGTATCATCAAGTTCAATCAACCCTAGTTCAGCTGACAAGGAATCATTTTCACTCATCAGAAAATATACCACTACTGCCAGTGCAAAAGGTTGGATGTAACAATTTTTTATGTTAATTCTGTTTGTGCTAGAGTAACGCTTTGTAGTCAGCAATTGCAATAAATAGTCTGCTACTATGAACAATAGTATAGGGAAACAGAGTATGAAATTATATCAATAAATCATAAGGAAATTTTATGCTCTTTTGAAAAAAAATAATTTTTACATATGACCTTTTGCACTAACAGTAGCAATACAAAATACAGTTATTAAACAATTACAATAATTCAATTTTTTATTGTTAAAAATTCTGCTCAAAAAAATAATTTATTAATCATATTAATTACCACATTTTTAATTTAGTAGAGAATTAATTTTTTACTCTTCAGCCATTGCCCATGGATGATTATATAACATGTTTTTGTTTTTAATCTGACTTTTTTTTTTTTTAATTCATAGATATTTTGTACTTAAATCAATATCCTAGCTTCTATATGTTCAATTTATAAACTGGGACAGATAAGATTCTTTGATCTAACTTTTCAACTTATTTATTGAGTTATACAAACATTTTGCTAGGCTTCAATACCTGAACGGTGGTAGGTCTGTAGATCGATAAGGGACAAATTGGATCTTGAAGATTTTGATGCGTACAGCAAGACCCGGATAGTTAGATTATAATAATCTAAATAATACTTGTTCAGAAAATAAAATTGTAAAATATTACTTCATTATAAAAATAGCAAATACTTTGCAATAAAATTTGAAGAGAGGGAGAGAAATGATGCTGTAAAATTTAAAACAACAAATATTTTTTCCGATGGGTTTTTTCAGTGATGTGGTTTTAAATGAATAGTTAGAATGAAATATCAGCATTTCAATAAATGATTTAAAAATAATGAATACTCTGTATGATTCGAATTACAGCTACTCTATAAGATAAAATAATCAACTGCTTAAGATAAACTTCGATATTTATGGCTAAGAAATATTTTTTCCATTGCTTTTTTTATTTGATTATCTTTGTCAACTTTTTCTCTTGACCAATATTTCGGTGTACATCAGAGTGAATATCAATATGGGAATATAAAACAATTAACATAAGTTATACCAAGCATAAATACAAAGAAAATTAGATGAGAAAATGACTAAGCATATATTATGCAAGAGTAATTACCTGAATCATCATCAGGACCTCCCTGTGCAAACGCCGGGCTTTTATTAACAATCTCTTCGCCATCTTTAGAGCTAATTTTATCCTTGCTATCGCTCACACCAGTATTTATCCTATAATAATAGTAATTATTATACATTTTTCATGGCCTAGTAATAAAATATGAGCAAAAAAAATAAACAAATTTGGAAAAGCTTGCCTTGATATATCAATATCTTCAGGCTTGCACATCAAGCTTTTCCAATGTTGATGTGTTTCAAGAATGATTTTATTGGCAAATGCCTTGTCTTTAAACTCGGCATTAAAAGCAAACTGGTTCTCAGGTTTACCATCGGGAATTTTATAAATTCTTAACCATTCTACAGTTGCTTTCAGGAGACCAGGGAAATATTTGTCAACATCCCCAATATCTGAAACAAAGAATAAGAAAAAAAAAACTATATAATATATTTTCTACAAGTGCTTGTAAATAAAAATTTAAAATGCTTCATGCTTTAATTCGTGAATATAAATCAATTATTAATTTTAAACCTGAAGATACTTTAAGTAAGCAAAACATTGATTACTTTATTTAATTATTTTTCAATATGTGTGTGGATACTTAAAAAAAGCAATAACCCGTATCATTTACTAATTTAATTGATCTAATTTGCTTTACAATGAAGTTGTTATTTAGAAAAAAATCAAAACAATAACTAATAACACTTCCTGAAGATTAAAAAAATGTCTTCATTTTTGCAATGAAGTTATTAAATTATATCATTATATTATTCATGCACAATTTTTTCAAAGTGAAAACTTCTGTAGGCCCGTTTTGCACTTTTTATATGGAGAGTGAATTAGATTGAGCCGTCAGATCTCCGATGTGTAACACTCAGATAAAGTCAGCTGGAGTTGACTAATTGAAGTGTTTTTGCAAATGGATTAAAATATATGAAAAACTAAAAATCGAACCTCCATATTGTAAATAAGAGAAATGTTCATCATTTCACCCTCTTTGTAAAGAGCTATTATCCCAAATTATATCTTGACCCGACGCCGTGTTAGAGAGATGAAAAGGGAAAAATTGTGTCGAAAACCCAACCAATAATGAGTTTTATTGAAGATATGGATTAAAATATCTCAGAAACTAAAAATTGGACCTGCGTACTATAGGCAAGGGAATTGTTCAGCATTTCATCCTCTCTGTAATGGGAGATTATTCAAAATTGTATCTTAATCCTGAAAAAGGATAAAATGGTGTCAAAAACCAAATGATAACAGCATTTCATTCTCTCTGTAATGGACTATTATTCATAATTTATATTTCATATTATTAATCTCGCCTTGTTGGTGTACGTTGTTTTAACTTATATATTATCGTTTGGTCTAAAGTCTAAGGTTTTTTTTTTATCTTTACAAAAACAGCAGAACTATAAAAAAATTGATAAAATAATGAAAAATAATTGCAAACATACAATCAAATCTACTATGTTTTATAATTTTGTTTACTTTAAATAGAGCAAATGATATCTTCATTGACAACTAGTGAATGAGATTACAACATACAAAACTGGGAGAAAGGGTGTGATGTCCTTCAGGAGGAGAAAACCCCGGTGTTAATTAAAGAGATCTCTCATCCAACTCCTTTTCAATACTACTACATTAAAAGTAAAATAGAAATGAATTACAACCCATAAATAAAATTTCCAACTAAAATATCACTGTTAAAAGCTATACTACACAAAAATCTTACCATTTAATGAATCAGCAACAGGATCATTCCTATTTATTGTTACTACTTTCCAGTCTGTCTCGCCTAAAAAAAAAAAAAGATAATTTTAAAATTAATCTTAAAAGAGTAAATTTAACATTAAAAAGAAACTTCAGTTAAAGAATGAAATCTTCATCAAGCATTATATAACTCATAGCCCATAAACCATGACATTTAATGATAAGTTGAAATATAACCTAGGCAAGTAAAAATATTGGAAAGAAGGTTATATATCTAACAGTGGATTGAAAATTTACTAATTACTTTTTTTACTAAATAGGTTTTTAAATAAATTATTTCCAGATTGCAACATTAAAAAAATTAATTCACTTTAAATAAGAATAGCTACCAACAATATATATATATATTCTTATCTGTAAAATATATGTTAAGTTATCTAAATATATCAGAAAGCTCAATGTTCTCAAAATATGGGTCAACAACTATTGAGCAAAGAGTACAATTTACAGATAGAATTCAAGTATTGAAATTGTATAATCATTAATTGTGCATGAAAGGTATTTAAATAGTATTAAAGATTTGAATTGTTAATTAAACAGAATTAATGAGTAGAATCCAGAAAAACTTTACCTTCATCAATCAAAGCAACGACACCTAAAACCTTCACTTGAAGAACTTCTCCTCTCTTGGCAATCTAAAATAAATTTGCATTAAAAATTACAACAATGCGCATTGAAAAAATTCTATGGTAAAAAAAATAATAAATACATTAAAAATTAATAATGAATAACGAGCATATTAGAAAAGTAAAAACCTTACCAGGAAATCAACGCTAGAAATTAAACTAAGAACAATAACAATAAGCAAATAAAATAATTTTGAAAGTTGATGTGTAGAAGAATTTGATTAATGATTGTTTATCTTGTAATAAAGATCATTAAAAGATTTAAATTATGATACCAGTATGATTCATAAATTTGATACAAATATAATTGATAGAGATTTGTCTTGCCATATTCGAGCAGATAAATAAACAAGATAGGAGGGAAATTAGTTTTTCCGTTAAGATTAATAGCTGTTTTTTCCTCCATCCCATTATTGTATTAATAATTTTTTTTTCCAGTAGAAAGAGATATTACAAAAATTACACCAATTCACTGGAACTAACAAGTTTTATTTTTCGATGAAACCCTCAATCTTGGAAGCAGGATTTTCTCCAGTAAAAACACTCAGCACTTTACTAAAAGAAATAATTTATTGTAAAGGAGACCGATATTAATGCAACAATAAATTAGTGCGACTGGAGTGAAAGATAACTTAAATGATCTCAACTCCAATAGATTGTTTTATTTCTTACCAGCAGGTAATAATTTACACTTCTAAAGGCCATATTCTAAGCTATTTTGAATACTATGATTCGAGGCATGGGACCAGAAACATTATATTATGAAAACTAAATTAATAATAATTATGGTGGAATAAGCAACTTTATTTTTTAATATTATTATAAGTACCTTTATGATAATGTATTATGTACCTTTCTGTATGTATTATGTACCTTTCTGTCACACATTTCTTCAATAAAATGGAAAAGTTGTAACACATAATTTATAATTACAGTCAGCACCAATATCATAAATTTTAACTTTACTTTATTTACTGACAAACTATATAATCCTTTATAGACTTATAATACAATATTAATCATGAAATACATAAATAGTGGAAATTGTAAGCAAATTCTCATCATAAATCCACTAAAAATGTTTATCTCCTCTTAATTAACATTTATAGTTTTTAGAAGTAATTTGTGAAAGGGGCAGAGAAAGAAGATTGTGGCCATTAATGAAATAATATACAAATTAGAAAACTTATTTATTATGTGTCGAAGTAAAAACAAGTTGACCAATATGAAAGAATAAGGAAAACAGTATGACAATGAAAATAAAAAAAACAGTATGGAAATGGTAATGATAAGCCAAATATACACAAATATTAGTATTGTATATGATAGTAAAACATAATAATACATCAAAATTAAAATCCTAACGATGAATATTGAATGAAAAGATGAAAAATGAAAATTACACAATATTATACATTATAATAAAATGAATTAAAGGTTAAGTTAAAAGTTACATGAACCAAAAGAAGTCCATACAGGATTCCTTAGAGATATGCAGATGTCTTGGCATTGCTTAAGTCCTTAACTCAGTCGATCTATGCTAAAATGTAATGGTGGACTGCAGTGTTTAGGCTAAGCTATATTTATCAATTGTTTTCATTATATTTAAAGGTACAACATAAATAATCAATCAGGTATCGAATTTTGCAAAGTTCTTAACTCCATATTTTTAACTTTTAACATTATTCTCTAAATATTCACCGTTGATGTTTCTTATGAATGCGTAGAATATTACTATTTATGAGTTCAAAATAGTTTTGAAAATGGTATGTAGAAGATGAAATCACTATCTGTCACTAAAAAATGGGGCAACAGTGGACTGATCATCAGAGGGACCCTATAATCGTTGTTACTCAAAACACTCAACTTCATTATTTCACTTAAAGGAATGGTCAGTGGTCATCTTAAGCAAAAAGTCAAATTATCAAATTTTCTCTCGGTACTCTATCAAAACCTAAGTGTACAGAGATTGTATTAGTTCAAACGACTAAAAAAGTCATAGCATTTTAATTGAAATTAGATGAATGAAAAAAAAAAGTTAAGAATAGTAACTCTTTTAGGATATGAGTATTATAGTATTAATTCTATGTATATATTTTTAATACAAATAACAAGATAATTACAATAATTATAAATTAACATACCCGAGAACCAATTTCAAGAACATCAATAGGATCGTTATCACCATTAAAACCTGTGTGCTCATCCTTCACCTCAGGATTTTCCCAGGTCTAAAAACAAACAAAAAAGATAACTTCAAGTAAAACATTACTGATCCTGAACATGCAATCTATTCTAAAGTGAAACTCATCATTTTCGATAATTTGTTTTAAAAATTAATATCTAAATAAATAAAAGTGTATATACATTATATTCTCTATCAGAGTAATTATCAACAGTAGCTTATTGAGATGGAATTATGACTTTAAATATATTGTGTGATGGATACCTGCGGAATTGCACCATAATTCCAAATATATCCATGATGTGGAAAACAGTTGGCCACATATCTAAGTTTTCCTTTCTTAATATCTTGCTTAATAGGATTTAATGGCTCAGTACGTGATATCTGAAAATTCATAACATAAATCAAGACTTGATTTTATATTAATTGAGTACAACAGTATTAGAAAAATAGGAAAAAGGGATTAAAGAATGACTATATAACTTAAATCTTCGTATTAAAATTAAATTACGTTTGATATATTAACCAACAACCAAAATTGAAGAATGTTTTTCAAAAATACAAAACTATTTCACTTATCAATAATAACAGGATGGCAATACATGAGTAACCTCATAGGTTGTATAAGTACATGGTGCTGAATCATGAAAGAATTAAGCAGAAACAACAATAGAAAAAATTTAATGCAACTTACATTTTTTTTTAAATTATTTTATTTATGATATTTACAACTGTATTACAAATAAAAATACATTCAGTAAACGTGAACACAAGAATGAAATAATATGAAACCACTTGTTGAGAAACTACCCATTGGTAGCACTCTAAAAATGTATTTACAAAAGGAGATCTCCAGGCCATCATTTCAGAGACCTCGGAGGGTTGTCAGTGATCGAAGAGGAAGCAAGGTTAGAAACAAGAGGGTTTGGATGCTTCTGAAGTTAGTTATGGAAGGATAGGTATCTGGATTGGACCAGGTCAGAAACATAAGGAACATCAAGGTCATTATGAATGATTTTATTTGTGGCAAAGTAAGGAGCAGTAAGAATTTTACGAAGGATTTTGGATTGGATATGAGAGGAATTTGAAGGTTTGGTGAAGCCCCAGAGCTCAACTTACATTCTTAAGAAAGATACTTTTTTGGAAGGATCAAGGTGACATTAAATGATGAAACAGTCCATAATAAAATATTTACCTCCATTTTAGCATTGGTCCACCTCGGGATTTCAACAACCATATTGAGGTATTGAGAAGATTCATCAGAATACATAGGAATGTCATGGAATGGAGAAACTGGGGTTCCTTCAGAATTTTCTAGAGAAGGAAAAAAATAAAGTTATGAAGTCTGAATAAAGATTATTTTAAACATCATACTCAACTATGTTAGACTTTAACATTTTTCTAACTATATAAGAGAGGTAAAGAAAGAGAATGTATAATTTAAACAGCTTTTAAATGGCTTAAAAACCGTGGAGTATTAACAAACAGGATGTATTACCTATTGAAGGAATTGGAAAAAAAAAATATTTTTAATACTTACTAAAAAATATCCTATAGGCTTGAGTATTTGTTGTTCCACGTTCTACAGCTTTGAAACTCATTTTCCTAATATTCGGGACTGAACAGGTCTGAACTAAATTATTTACAACACAATTTGATCTAACTACAACGGGTTTCAATGGTAACAGCGATATCACGTGTATTAATTTCAACATATTAACGACCTGCACTCTGCTGAGAGAAAATTGAATCACGATTGATAAGAGATAAGATATAAAGGCTACTTCTGTGTAACAAGCAACATAAAAAATACTATGTAGATATTTAATGATTCTATAAAAGCTTAATAAACTAGGCTTGAAAAAGTTAAAATAAGATAGGACAAGGTTACATCTACATGTTACATAGAGGATCTATTTAATTGTGCAATGGTATCAAATGTGCAACCTAAGTATGGGGAAAGATTTACATAAAAAAAAAAAATGGTACAGTCATGCCCAACAATTAAATTCTTACTATATTTAATTATATCAAATTCATTAATAAACTTTGTTAACCTTAATTTTCAATGTTGTCAATAATTTCTCAACTAACAATAAAAGATTAATAATATTTTTTCTTTTGTCTTAATTATTCTTTTACTCAAATAATTATTAAAATTCTAATAATGAATGGCAATACATTAAAATTAAATTATTAACAACTTTTCATATGTAATACTTCAGAATCAAATTTTCATCCTTCAGTTGAAAAATATATATATATCCTTTTTCTGTAGATCTGTAGAAATCATCTGCAAAGAAAAAAATATACTCAGAAGAAAAATATTGGAAGCAATAACAATTAATAATAAACCCATAAAATGCGATATATTTCAAAACTGATTCGGGAAATAGTAATAAACATTATATTTTAAATAAACTTTTTTCATATAAATTACTATTGCGATTGATATGAAAAAATAATAACATTATTGTAATATTTACTCTATGCGTGTGTGGAATATTGAAATTGTTAAAACTATTTATTATTCAATTGTATTGGTAAAATACTCCTGAGATACCATGAACACATTTTCTCTTAGCTTGTGAACCCAAAACAAATATATACATACACAGGTCAAAAAATTATATATTGTGTAGATATTGGAGCCTAACACCACCAGGCTGCTATGCTTCAACTATCCTTGGTAGTATAGACGCTCTGTAATTGGTACCTGATCATTCAATGGATTGTGCATGTATGCACTAGCGGATCCAGGATTTAATTTTGGGGGGGCTTCAGCCCAAAAGATTTTTTTTTCATATACATATAACGATAATTAGTTTGAAAAAAAGAGAAAGAAATTAAATACCTATATGAAATAGTGTTTAAGTGGTTATTAAAGTCTTATTAAATGTAATTACACAAAGTATATCACCATATCACATCCTCGCACTCAGAATTGTTCATAAAGAAATAATTCCTCCTTATTGATTAGAATAGCTAAGACTCTTCATAGATTGCAGGAAAAACAATTGTTTAAGAAATTTAATTTTATATGTATGGATTATATGTTCTTGTTTTGAATTGAGGGGTGCCTTGAAACAATTAAACCCACTAAAAAGGAATTATGTAATTCACCTCATAGGGTTTGTTTATTAATGTATTAAAGAATATCAACTTCCTTTTATTTATCTTGTTTAACGTTTTCAAGGATGTTTTACATCAAATTGATAACAATAATGCTTTTTCTGGCCAAGTAGAGCTAATGATATATAGGGTATGGATGATTGAATTATTTTTAATGATTTCTGTCATACTTTTTCGATAATGAAAAATTAGGATGAGTGTTACTAATTATAGCTGATGCAATTGTACTATTGATTTTTCAAATAAAACCATACCTGTATAGATTAACAGAACTAGGTCAAATATTATTAGGCATGTTATCTTGTAGAGTATCAATATCTCATTTTATGGAGTTTTCATATCAATATCTTACTATCATAAATTGTTTAGCGTTTGATATTATTTATTGAGCTGTAAGTAGATTAGACTTATGGTAAGGTATTTATAGAATATGATTTTTGGATGAGCAAAATATACTCACAGCAACAAAGAGTAAAGACTGAAGAGGATAACAAAGTAATGAAAATTGAAAAATAATGTAATATTATTCAGAGGATAGAAAAATGTCAACGCTTAACTTCTTTTTAATTAAAATTAATGTTAATTTAAATATATCCACAATGTTCGCAAGGTTAAATCAGTTTACAATTAAGAAGATAACACCATATTTAAATTGAAACATTTATCGTTTTTATAAAAATTTGGTTTGTTTAAAGATTTTTCACATCACTGTATGTGTATATGCGGTGTCTTGTAAGTAAAGAGAAATATTTGAAGGAGTGTTCCAATTTTATGAAGATAAGTAGAAAATTCAAGTTTTGTTGAACTGACATCCAGTCGATAATGATAGCTGTATTCAGAAGCAAAATTGAATCATTTGGAAAATCAAGGAAGAAAACCCAACTACTGTAGAGTAAAATATTTTTCCTAAAGATGCAAATTTACAAAAGATGCAATTTTATTTCTGAAATAGCCTTAATTAGGCAAATGAAAATCTCAGTAGAAGGAATAGGACACATCAATACCAATTTAAAGTAATAACTTGTTATTATCTGACTATACTAAAAAAAGGAAATCCAACAATTGTTTGAATTATTATTATGAAAACGTAATTATTAGGATTAAGAACATTTAGTCAGTCACTTAACACAATAAATATCATAAAGGTATGGGTAAAAACACTTGTGAATTATGACTTAAACTTTTGCAAAATAATTTTTTTGTAATTTTATTTTTAAAAAAGTGTATTTTTGTGTTCAAGAAATCTCAGGTCTTAGAAAAAAAGAAATTAATGCTTTTGAAAAGTTAATTTTGTAAAAAACAAACTATTACTTAGGTATCAAAAAATATCTAATGAAGTAGTTTTTTTACATAAATAGTGGTGAACCTCAACTCTTTCCATAAGAAACTTTAGCTTGAATAATATATGCTTAAAGCTTATTAAACTAGGAAGTTTTTCTAAAAGTAAGGCAACTATAGTCAAGTTGGATTCATAAAAAAATAAAATAAGAAATAGTGAATAATCAATCAATTATTTAAATATTAACAGAACTTAGAGCAACTGATTAAACACCCCCTTTAAATGATTTTAACAAAGAAAAACTATACTAACATTTAAAGAATAACAGAACTATTTTATAGGCCTAGCTTAGTCTGCCATTAATACAAAACTAAGCAGTAATATTTACTCAGGACATTATAGAAATCAGGTTTGTCAAGAGATATCTGATCATTTTACCTGCAACCAATTTTCTATAATGATTTTAAATAACAAGATTATAGATTTAGATGAACAAAACTTACATAATGTTTATTCAACAATATACAGAATGTATTTTTAGAAATTATGACAACAAAAAAACAGTCAATATAAAAAAAAAAAAATTGATACCTTCTAAATTATGACAAAAAAAAAACCCTCCATTTTAACCAAAGTTCATATCCATGAAGAATAAATAAATGTCTTAAATTGGGCTCCTTCACCATCCTACTCTCCTAATATATATACACAATGAAAGATTTTCAACCCCCAGGCTGGGAAGCGGTTTCCATGGAGCAAAAACAGAGAAAAATGTATCTTGGTATTAAGAGAGTAGGAATTTAAAGGAGCTCAAACTTGCTTCTGGGTTTTAATTCTCGGTATGTGCTGGCCTCTGTTGGCAGGATTAAGAACTACTTTCTCATTTAAATAATTATAGAGCCTTTTACAATATTATTCGTATTAAAACCCTTTTTGTTTTTAAGATATACACAGTAAATCGTTTTTTTTTTTCAACTCATAGTAAAATTAGTTGGCCCAAAACAAAATTGAAAACTGATGAACTTTTTGTGTCCCACTTCTTTTGTAACTATTTCTTTGTTATAGAACATTTTGAAATGATAAATGCTTTCCCTCTAGATCCTGCTGCTGATTCGTATTGGAATGTAATAAGACTATTTTTTTATCTTTAAATATCCATTAAGCAAAAAACAATAAATTAAATTAAATAAATCACTCCATGAATAAACAAGAGAAAAAATTAGGCTTCAAAAGTATGAATAATATTGATACAATTTATTTTTTGAAAAATCATTTGAGTTCAGGCTTATTAAAGACATATTCTTAGACATAATTCACTGAACCTTCATTTTCGAAAAACTTGCATTTTGAAATTTGAATATACTTTTCACAAAGTACAAGTGTACTCATTATATTCTCAAATCAATAACCTAGGCAGCACCTTTCGTAGATCATTGCAGTAACTTTTTATAATAATATAATGAATCATGGACCTAAGGAATAAATTATTTCCCAATGTTTCAAAGTGAAACATATTTTTCTTGCATTGCAAAATATAATTCTCCTCATTTTGATATCATACTGAAATGCAGGAACTTTTTCAACTTCATTGCAGTTACTTTTTCTCTTGTAATTTTTTATAATATAATGAATCATAGACCTAAGGAATAACTTATTTCCCAATGTTTATCCTGTGTTTCAAAGTGAAACATATTTTTTTTTATTGCAAAATATAATTCACCTCATTTTGATACCATACTGAAATGCAGGAACGAACAAACTCCATAACAATAATTAATTGTTAAGGATTCCACTTACTCTTATATTCACTAATCCAATGAGAAAGAAAACAATATAAAATATGTACTAATATATATTTTTTAAATTGATTTAGTGTATCTAATTATTTATACCAGCTGCCTTTATAAAACTAAGATTTGTAATCTAATTTCATTTTACTCTGAATTTAAAGACAAATTTTAGATTATACAATTACTTTTAACTGCCACTGTAATTAATCACTTAACAATTACTTTAATGGAATAAATATTTAAAAAAAAAAAAAAAAAAATATATATATAATATATATATATATATATATATATATATATATATATATATATATAATTAAATCAATATAAAATAAACAACATAATAGTTAATACTTAATTAGCTGCATTAAATTATTTTATATTTATTTGTAAAAAAGATGATTTAGATCAAAATTAGAGCTTAATTAAAAAACGCAATTTTCATTTTAAATCCTATTTACTTAAAAAAATAAATATCTGTGTTTATAGTTCAAAAGTAGTCAAGATTGTTTAGGAATTGTAATTAGTGCCTCTGATCCCATTTGAAATAGACTTTGGTGAATATTCTATAATTCTATTCTAGTAAATCCTCCATGACAGTTAAAAATTCAAGATCAGGGGAGGCAATGCTATTGGCAGAAATCATGCATTTATCTGTTTGAAATTTTTTATTATTTATAACTCAGTATATCTATGGATGCGAAACTTGGCCGCTTACATTAAGGGATGAGCAGCGTCTTAGGGTTTTTGAAAATAAAGTATTGCGTAGAATATTCGGACCGAAGAAGGATGAGTTAACCGGAGAGTTCAGACGGTTACACAACGCCGAATTGCGTGAGCTGTATCCGGGTAATATAATTGAGGTGATTTCATCGCGGCGAATCAAATGGGCTTGTAAAGTTGTTGGGCTTAGTAACGAGAGAATTCCTAAAAGGTTAATATTTGCTGTGCCGAATGGTAAGCGTCCGAGGGGTAGACCGAAGCGAAGGTGGGAAGATTGCATTAAAGCCGATCTGAAGGGACTGGGTTTGGACGGCGAACGGTGGAGGGAGGTGTGTAACAAGCGACTGGTGGTGTCGGCATCGAACCTTCGGGTTCGCTAAGCCTTATTATTATTATTATTTATAACTCAGTATATCTAAAATTAAATAACTTTCAGTATTAATAAAATGAAACTAGTAGATCTATGTGATAATTCTCACATTAAATTAAACATGTATCCTTTTTATCCTTAACATATTCTAAGTAGAAATGATATTAGGAAAACATGTTTATTTCTAGGAAAATTATAATATTATTAACAATTTACTAAATATATAACCATCTTTAATCAATAGTAAATATATCTTTCGTTTAACAATGAAGGAGAGGAGCAGGTGGCTCACTGGTTGAGCACAGACTTCCAGATCTCAAGGTCCCAGGCTTCAATCCGGCTGAGGACTTGTAATATTTCATCAGCTGTGGATCAACCATGAGATCAGGAGGCCCTCCTGGGGCACACCCAGCCTCTTTAAATTGGGTACTCTTAATTAAATAATTAATTAAGGAGAAAACCTGGCAGTTGAGTGTGATCTCGGCTTTATCACTTCCCAGCATAACTGTGGCCTTGTAACAGTAGTTTCTCTTATATAATACTGAACCCAAGACCCTTCATGGATTGTTGTGGTACAGGTTTTATCTTTTACATTAAAGCAATAAAACTCAAGTCATCCATAATTATATTGTATTTGCTGAGACCAATAAAGTCTATAAATAAGAACAAAATCCTTGGTTTGTGTACTTTCACTTATTATGAATGGGATATATGAACAATAAAGAAAATTAAAACATGTTTATTATTAAAAAGTTTGTATTTATCATTGGAGATGCCCAAGGTATCTCATGGCTATTTTCCTTTGTTTAAAGCTTTAAAATATAGGGCTTAATGTGTTTCAAAGCAACTTTATCCCTATAAAAAATATTTTTGAATATATATAATCCATAACTTACTGAAGTTTTCAAATTGTCTTTTAGAAGTTTATCAGTTGACACAAAATATTAAATTCTAGAAACCATTAAAAAAAAAAAAAAATTAAACTTACTTCCAGTTTTCTCTCTTTACTGCACTCCCGACAAACTTTTTGATTAAATGTAAATATATCCCCACCAACTTTAAGATTAATGATGAAACAATAGCATTGAACAATTTTTGTTAGGCTAATAAAAGTTACAACCAATTCATTAAAAAAATTAAATATTGTCATTTTAAATTCAAGTCGAATATTACTTTTGTCTAATATCAATACTTAATCCACTTTCCTGCAGTAACCTCCCACCCATCTTGAATCCTCTTAATATTTTTGCAATTATATTATATTGCACTAGACATCTTTGAAAACAAAGTTAGAAGTTATATGTTCATTTTTTACTTTTAGGCTGTGTTTAACACAAACATCAATATGATAGATTCTACCCACAGATTTATAATTGAAAAGTATTTATGTTAATTTACTTAAGTCATTGTATTAATTGAACTGTAATATAATGAGACAATGAATTAACATATCCAAGTGTAGTTAGTTTCATGTCAAGTTGAATTCTAAAATTAACATTAATTTTAGATTACTTGTCATTAGGGAAGATGATATTGAAAATAATGGCTCAATCCTTTGTCTGGATGAAGTACTAAAGCAAATATGGAGTATCAACAAAGCCTCTGAGAAATATTATGTAACTGACTGGCCCATGCTAACAATTCAGATATTTTATTAGTCAGTGATATTTAATTAAAAGATGAAATAACACGGAAATAAGTGAATTAAATAAATTTTGATTTTTTTTTTCTAGTTGGCAATGTTTCATTACTGAAAAGAATAGTCCAAAGCATGTGTATAAATTCATATAGATTGTCTCTAAAAATAATAATCTGATTTTTATTTTATTTTTTTAGGCCATTCGGAAACGTTCAAAATAATGATGTTTATAACCAACCAAAACTTGTTTAGTTTTTGATTTATTTGCAAGTCAAGTTTTCTTTTCTTCATTACCTTTCATTCAGCTTTTTCTAAGGTGTGTAGCTTATTTTTCATCACTGGCAGAGAAGGTAATCTTGGAATTAATAGCGGCTCAATCATTGGGTTTGATGAAGTATTAAGGAAGATAAGTTGAACTTGCAAAATAAAAACCTTTGGGAATAATTTATAAAATAATATAGACTAAACAAAGTATACTCCTCAAAGTCTAAACAATTCTTTTGAACAGAGAACTTTTTTTTTTTTTTTTTATTTGGGTTTTGCACAACTTAAGGAGTCATATCCCCAATACCCAAAAGCCACTGCTCCCTGTCCATCCAATCTCCCTCACGAAGACCTCTGGCTGCCATGCTTTCTTCCACGTCCTCTGTCCATTTTTTCTTTGGCCTTCCACGCTTCCTTCTTTCAGGTGGCATATAGTTATATGAACAGAGAACTTATAAATAAATATTTTTATATACAACAAATAAAGTAGTGAGTTGGAAACTTTTTCTCAAAATAAATATACACAAAAGACCGTTTTTATTGTAATACCTGTTTTAAATATTTGGCTGGTAAAAATATAGTTCATGGCGTTGTAAAAAAAAAAAAAACTTCTGGAGTTTTTAAGATTGTCTGTTTTCACAAGACCAATCTCGATATAATTATGAGTTATGATGAAGAATTGTGTTCTATAATTACTAATTAATAAATTCCCAGGTTTGTTTCAATAGAAAAACATTATGCTAAATTACTAGCATTGTAAACAGCAAGTAAACAAACAGTTATTCCTTGTAACATGATTTATTATAGGTCTGTTTCAATAGAAAAAAAAAGTTAAATTACTACCATTGTTACAGCAACTAGACAAACAGCTATTGTTTGTTAACATAATTTCTTCTGAATACAATGATATAAAAACATATTGGAATATCTTCAAAATTGATTGTGGATAAATAATTATAAGATAAATATTTTTTAAAATAACTAGCAGTCCACATCTATAACGCTTTCCTTAACATCCTGGTAATTGGAGCAGGCAACACTGCAGTTTCAAATGCCAAGATACAATTAAAACTCTTAGTAAACCAACTAGCATGATTCAATCAAATGAATATACACCACACTAATTTTAAAATAATGAGGAATGAAAAGAATACATTATATAATATCTTTCAATTATTAAATTTATTAATAGTTAAATAAAAAAAAAAGCAAAAACAAAACATGACATATATAAGTATATTGAATGTCGGCTTCAATGGAGCAGAGAAAATACAGGAACATTAATTCAATTCTAAAAGTCTGTTTTGGGGCGCTTTTTGATCCATTCCTGGATCTTTGGAAGGGACAGAACATTCTCCCTTAATTGCTTCAGGTTTTCATACTTATCATAAAAGTCAAAGCCAATCATTTTGATCAAGTATTCAGATATGGCAACAAAGTAAAGATCTCCCCAAGATAACTAAAACACACAGACAAAAAAATTAAAAATCTTTCTAAAACAGTTAAAGTATAACATAAGACTTAATCTGATTCAAGTGACTTACTTCACCATTAGCCAGATAGCCATTATTTTCTTTAGCAAGTTCATCAAATTTACTCAAATAAAATGGTAATATTTCACTTTTAAGTGGTCCAAGCTTTTTAGCTTTGGTTTCTTCATTGTCATCATACCAATAATTAGCAATAGCTATAAAAACATAAAAATCAAAACTTAATACATATTAATATTGATAGCGATAATTAATACCATACAACAATAAAATGGAAATTAATAAGTGTCAATTTAGTTTTCAAGAACCTAATGATAGTTGAAGAAATCGATAAACTGGTGAGACTATAAATGACCAGTCTTTGGAAAAACGCAGATATCAGCAAATAAAACTAATCATTAACTCTCTCTAACTGTCTTCTTGATTTCTTACAAGTCCGTTTCAATAGACAAAAAAATGTTAAATTGCTACTATTGTTAATAGAACGTAGACGAACAGTTATTGTTTGTAATATGATTTCTTCTAAATATCGCTACTGCTATTGCAAAAGGTCATATGAAAAAATGTTCCATATTTATTCTTTTTGTGCTAAAGGTCAGATTTTGTAGTCTGCTACTATGGAAAATATGATTAATTGGGTCACCTTAACAATCTGAGCTTTGGCACTACAGTATTATGGAGTTGGCAAATCAAATCATTGTAGTATTAAAACAGGAAATAAAGTAGTAATGTAGTAATCTGATAGAAACGAAATTTTGTTAAAAGAAAACAAAATTATTTGAATCTGTGGGTTATTCTGTATTTTTTTTTTTTTTTTTACTGCGGTCACTTATCACTCATCAAACACACTCAAAATAATTTAAATACAAGCTGACAGTTAATTGTCTATGGTAGGTGTAAAATAGAATAAATTGGTATGGACAGGAGTGCCTAACCGCTACATGTTACCGTAGCAAATTTTGAGGTGGCTAAATTTTAATGTAGATACGAAATAACAAAAAAGAAGTTTGTTCCATAAAATAACATACTTCTACACATAACAAACAGTTGCTCAAAAGTTTCTTTAATTTTAATGTATAAAACAAAAACAGATATACTTTCTTGAGGGGCTGGGAAAAGAAAAATATTCTATTATTGAATTAATAGAAGTTTGGGGTATTACGTTAAGAAATATACAACAAAATTGAAACAAACTGATTTTCAATCTGATATACAATTAAAATTAATAATATCATTATCATATTTTAAATAGTACCTTAAAAGAAACATTTTAAAGGGTACAATCGAGGGGGGGGAGGAGAAATCTGTTACTTTAATAAAATAGAATACACAAAGATATATATTTTTTTAGATCTCGATGGCCCATACTGATATTTATTAGCTGCATAATTACAAAAGGTTCTTCAAATCAAATAATATCAATTAATGAAATATAATATAATATACTACCTTGGCGCATGTCATGTAGTGTGTCAACAGCGACATCAATCTGAAGTGCTTCCCAGTCATTCTTGCCAGCAAGCTTAGCTAGCTTTCCTAAATAACGAGATATGGCAGTCGACTGATGGACTTTTTTACCATCGACCTCTAGGACTGGTACTTTACCAAAAGGCATGTCTGAAAAGAGGGAGAAAAAAAATTAAATATATTTGTTTATTTGGGGTCGATGTCCAGGGCAGGAAGGATACATTATCCAACCTAATCTAGCCAGGGTGAGATTTATTCAGTGAATCCACCACAAAATAAATTTCAACTTATTCAAACTGGCACTGCTTCTGAATCAAGAAGGTGACACCTTAACAAGGCAACAAATTAAATATGTTAACTAATATCAACACTTTAACGTTTTAATGCTTAAAAGTAGTATAAAGGACTAGCTGACCCGTGCGAATACTTAGCACAAACCTTATATTTGTATCAGATTTCAATACATTAAGGGCTCAGCAAAAGTTCCTTTTAGTAATGTGTCTAGACAAAGGTTTAATACTTTTATTTAGTAAGTTATCAGTTTATAAATATTATGATCTATACCCATCCATAGTTTAATCCTTGCTAGTTTAATTAAATTTATAATTATAATATTATATTTTCTTAAGTTTACAAAAGCTTCTAAACATTTCCTTTAAATATCTGATAAAGGCTAAATACTTTGGATTTAGTTTTCTGGAAGGAACGGTTTAACCTGGCAGATCAAAAAAAAAAAAAAAAAAGATAGATATTTCTTTTGTCATACATAAGGGTAAAATAAAGGTTTTCCTCGATATAAATTTAATTATTGATATACACCCTTAAAAAAATTTAAAGATTAAATGAAAAAATAAAATTCTAATAAAATAAACAAAAATAACTATTATTTCAATAGATTAAAAGTTTTTGAGTAATCCAAAATATAAAGAACTTTAAAGTAGAATTAATACTAAATGTTTAGGACGCTATATCTTTGCACCACAATGTCAAAAATTATTAGGAGAGATTCTAATCTCGTCACCATAGTGACAAACTATTTCACTGTTGGAATTTTCCCTCTGCCGCTAACCATTTATAACTCGTCAGGATGTTCTCCAAATTGGTTGTTACTATATCCGTTGGAAAGCTGAACTGTTACTCTTCAAAGCCGTATGAATAGTTTTTTGATTCAATGCCTACATAAGGAATAAATAAACAAATAGTCCTTATAGATTTTTATTTTTTATCTTGATATGTAGTTTGTTTGCGAAGTTCCTGGTGGTGTCATTATGTGTAGTATATGTGGCCCTAAATTTCTTATAGATAGCCAAAGTCGTATTGAAGTTATAACATTTTTTGTTTTTCGAAAATTATTCAAATGGGTGGGTCCTGGGTCCCCCTTCTCTCAGATTTAGTGAAAAATGAGTTATTTTTTTATTACTATGAAAATTCGTGTTTGGTGGTTTTTTGAGATGCGAAAGACATATCTCAACTTGGTTTGTCGTTAAAAAAATATTTGAACCCACTTTGCTCGTTGGGTCGGTAGAAACTGTTCTATTTCAACATTTTATTCATACTAAACAATACACCAAATATAAATTTGATAAAATAGAGCTCATGAGTAATATAAAACGAATATAAGTGTAAAAAAAAAAAGAAAATATTTTACCAGATACAACTGTTATCGATTTCGATTTTTTTTTTTTTTTTTTTTATGTTTTGTTAGGAATTTAGTAAGCTTTCAAATACTCATATGCATAATGGGCCAAAAATTGTGTCCTTTTCGAGTAATTTATTAATTATGACTTCATTTGTAGCGTCTCGATTCTAAAGTGCCACTTTCGGTTAGCCGATTTTAACGAAAAAGTTGCTGTAACATCCCTTGCATAATATGCAAACATAATATAATATGTAAACATAATATGCAATTTCATTTTTTTATGGCTTTTTATTTTTGAGCTAGACTGTTAACACACAGAGACTATTTTCCAGGACTTGGTTATTTGGACTTGGGGAACCTCAAAACATGCATTTCCGTTGAAAACTAAGATTAGAAAATATTCACAATTGCAATACTTTCCTTTACAATATATTTCATATATAGGTAAGTATAACTGTGTAATTATAACAGACTGTATTTGAAGGGATTAGCTAGGATAGAAGAACATCAGTTTTGTATATACGAAAACGAGTTTTGATTTTTGTAATATATTATATAGTAACAACTCTAATGTCATTATACAGAGAGATGGAAACCATTTCATAACATAGCTTTGATTTTAGAGTTCTCGAAATGAAATAATCACAATTTGAAAGCTGATTGATAAACAGATGTTTTAATTTTAATGTAGAAGAAAAATTAAATATAAAAAAGAATGCCTGATAAATGCTGTCCTTCCACAGTGCCATGTTCAGATGTCCGTTAAAATTCCTCATTACATCCTCCAACATTTTGACCGGCATTGCTGTGAATACATGTCATTTAACTTCTTTTAAAAATATAATAATGGGTGGTTTGTCAACGTACAGTTTTGAATTGAGGTACTCCCACAAGAAGAAATCACGTGAGGTGGTTATATAGAAATCCAGTGGTTAATCAGGAGATATTCATGCGGAATGAAGTTGAAATGTGTACGGAATGGTAACAATGTTGATCCCTTCAACAGGCCAGCGTAATTAAACTTCCCAATTAAGCTTCAGAATGAATGGGGGAACGACCACTCACCACAAGTCACCCTTATACAAATAATGTAGCCATTCATGTACCCTGTAAACCTCCTCATATAAGAATGTGCTATGAACAATTAATTTTTAACCATAATTTCATATTAAAACTATGCAGTAGACATGTATATAATTTTTAAGTTTACACATAAATTGAGGCATATTTGTGTAACAAAAAGGCATAGTAAATATTCTAATGCGCATCATAAAAACAATCTTTCTTTGATCAGATAATAGATTATTTATTATGACATTAACTTTGTAAAAATTGAACTAAAACCTTAATTAATAGGTGTTTTTTATTTACTTGGTTTGATTGTGGGCCAATCTTCGCTGTTAAATCTGTAATCTTCAAAGTCTTCCCCCAGGTAACTCAACAAAAACCTGATGGGTTCACCAAGTGCAGCTACAGGAAAGTAAGTGAGCTTGTAGCTAGGCATTTTTCTGAAAAATAAAAAATTATTTTAATCAAATTTATTAAAACATATATATATATAAATACACACACATGTAAATATCAGACATGAAGGGTTATTTTTGTTTTATTTACGGAATGCAAATATAAATATTCCCAAATTAAATTCCATTCTGGATTTTTCTATGACAATCAACCATCATACAGAAGATTGTATATACTTAAAAATGTGTAGAGAATAAATTGTATTATTATGATCTCATAAGCAGCCTTAGTATGCGATTAAATCGATAAATTTCAATTCTTAAGAAAAAATATTTTATTCTGACTTTTTTATCTAACTAATTTTTCAAGTGTTCGACCTCTGCATCTTTCGAAATAGTTGGTCAGTCTTATTTCTGATTTTTCCTTAAATGAAATTCCATGACTTGTCAAATAAGGAAGTGAAAAAAAAATTGTGTGAAAGACAAGGCAAACTTGTGTATGATCCAAATATTAGAACATTAATATAAAATAGAAAACATTAAACATTAACGTTTTACACTACCACCAACTTACAGGGAAAAGATGGGAAGGGGGCATGAGAAAATTCATTACTAAATTCAATTTAATGATTATTGGTTTAGCATTATCCATATTTCCATACTATTTTATCAGCTGTTCTCTGACTAATATTTTATAGGAATTATTAGCACGGACCAGCTAAATACAATTTGTTAATATAGAATTTAAATTATGCCATTTTCAAAGATGTTTTGAGCTCTAAAGTGATACTTTTAAATTTTATATTTTTAGATATAAATTTAAAAAAAGCTATAAAAGTTATAAATCTACCAACACGATATTGAGGCAGTTGAGAATGAGAAAAATTGAAGATAAGCCTAGAACACATTGGACAATTTTTTCGTGGGTTCGGTTTAGAGGGCGGATTGTAAAAAAAAAATCTGCCAGCTAGATGAGTATATCATCTACTTCACCATTTTTATCAAGTAAAAACGAAAAAACAAATTAACTGTTTAATTGTTTATTTCGACATGTTTTAGAAAATTGATTCTCCTCTATAACATAAAAATTTAGAGTTGTAGAGCTGTACTACATAAACTATTAAGAGTGAATTCATGTTTTTTATTTGTTTGCAGGATATGCAAATTTTCAAAATAAATATATGTACACTACAAAAAAATTAATAAACTGATGAGCAGAACATGTCAATAAAATAAGTCTAATAAATCACTAAATTTAAAAACAAATATAATCTTACATTTGGTGGTATGTTCTCTGCCTTAAACATTTCACAGTCACCATATAGACAATTGAGAATGTGATGGATAAGTATGTTGATGGAGTGTCATAGAGTGCTGTTCAGAACGTTTATGATTCAATTCCTATCTGTGTTAGTTAGTATTTATTTCTCGACGGCGTTGAGAAATACTCCTACTTTGTTTTAGGGCCAAGGAGGGCTTGTCAACCTAATTTGGATTCAATTAACAAGATCAGCAATACCCCATGAGAGGAGAGTTAAAAGATAGGTTTTTGGGTCAATTCCCTGAATAAAGAAATCAATGTTAACGATTTCCTAAAAGAAGTTATGCAAAATTGAATACCTCTGAACTTCTGATAATTTTTTCGTTTTCTTCTGAAAGACTAACCGGATTTGTTCAGGAGTGTCGAAGGCGCCTCTCCAAGCCATCGTATAGGGGAAATGAAACCAATTGGGTAATTTGTACAAAGCGTCAGGGTGCTGCCAAACCGAAACATTTTGGAATTTTGATTAATGTTGAATTTAATGGCTAATTAGTTGGATTATAAATATATAAAATATTATACTCTTACTTCATTTAATAAGTCTGATTAAACTGAAACAGTGTGATTAGTTCATATACTATTATTGGTGACCAGAGAATTCCCTTTTTTATTTTCAATATATGTAATATACAGAAAGGGGAAGTATTGTGATCATGAAAATTTTCGAATCTGAGTTTTCAATAGAAATACATGTTTTGAGATCCCCTGTTTATTATTTATGTATTGTGCCTGTTTGTATATGAACAGTTAGTTCAAAAATGAAGAATCGTACGGTATTTAAGGTTTGTACATGCCTGCGATATCCAAAAGTGCCACTTTTTATAATCTATTTTACACATCTTTTAAATTTTTTCGGAAAGGACTCTAGCGATTTTGATTAAATGCATTATGTAAATGTAAATTATGCTATTTTAAATATAATATAGGTCTTATTCTCATTTATGTACTCTAGCAGGTTTTAAGGGCTGATTTAGCTTTCAGGCGGAAGTACCTCCCCTCTCTCCTCCCAAAATTGTAAAATATAACCATGTGTTGCGATAAAATATTTATCTCTAAAAGTATTATTGTTCATGTAATTCATTTAATAGGACTTGAAGAATTATTTTAAAAACATTTTTTTCCCCCCTCCTTTCCTTGCCTTTTAGGCTACACAAGGATTTTCCCAGGCCGTGGGAATTAAGCTGAGTTAAAAATCCCACCGGGCACCAGGATTTGAACACGTAATTATTTTTCCATCTCCGACTTCGGTTATCAGTGCTGTGCACACGCATTAGCCCACTCGGGCCTCCTTAACACCATTTCATAAAGGTAGCTAGTTTCTTTCATCTTCTTCCAAAGTAATAATTGTTATATATTTAAAAAAAAAAGGAAGCTTTCCGGCTAAAGCCCCCAAAATTAAATCCTGGATCCGTTAGTGCTGTCACTTCTTGATAAGATAAAACTACATAACTGGCAAAAACTAAATAAACCGGTGTATAAGAGTAACTCAAATATGAGATAAACCTATCAAATATATTAGAATTTGAGATGGTAAACTACCAAAGAAACCTAATATATTTCATATTAAAAAAAAAGTCTGCATTCTTAGAATGATAAGAGAGAGAGAAAGAAAATTTAAAAGTAGTGCTATTTAAGAAATGAATTTTGACTAATAAAAACTCTGCAGCCATATGTGGGAACAGTTTGGTTATTAAAAGTTTTGAAAATATCAATTATAATCTTAAAATTAATAATCCCTGAGATATCGAAAAGCTGTTTATGACCAATGACTATATTTTCCTTATCTTGGGATAGATAATGAGAATATTTAAAAAAAATATTTAGTTAGGCATTTACAATTCAAGTTATATAAATAAAAAAAAATACTGAGAGGCTATCAGGAAGGAACCGGTTCTAAGATAAAGAATCCAGAAGAGGTGATAAGGCAACTACACACTTATCACATTATTTTTGGATAATTTATATTTTTCAAGATGAGTCAATAATTGACACAAATAGAAAACTTTTTTATCATTACCAATAATTTCAGAAATTCAATTGTAACTTATATTCTTAAATATTTATTCTTGTACCTTATTATATCAAAAATGGCCAGGGCTAGAAAGTAATTCAGTTAGAGCTGAAAATCGGGTAAGTTCCTAAATTCAGCGCTGAGTTAAGGAAGTTATTAGGCCCTTTATTTTAATTAATACATACATACATTAATTTATACATTCTAGTTTAAACAATAATGAACTAAGCTTTTGAGATTTTTTTTTTACGAGATTTAAGTATTTTTAAAATAACCACCCAATTAAAAAAAAATATATATATGTTCTATTAATTAAATTCTGCATTGAATGGCTGCTAAAACGTAACGATTCGATCGATGAATATATCCAAAACGGATGCGCAAATAGTGCCTAAATTTTTAATTTTTTTTTCCCCATTATGTAAACCTGGCTACTGGTTTCATTTATTTATTTATTGGTTATATCGTTGGGAAACTAAGGATTTTAGAAAAAATATAAATAATAACTTCTGAAAAATAATATTATTTAAAGGAAACGAAATGTTTCCATGGATACTAAATTATACTTCTAAACACCAAAAGGAAACTTTTAAAATCACTTTTAAGCTCAACAAGCCAAAAATTATATTGCAACGAATTATCGTTCTGGAATTGTTTAAAAATTAATTCATCATACTTTTGTAAGAGAAGTGCATACATTTCAAGATGTGTTTACCGGTGATCAAATGTTGCTTTCTTAATTTCAGTAAGCTTATAGTAACTTAATTATAATAACATAAGCCAAGACAACAGATTTAAATAATTAACTATTAGCTAGCTCTATTTGAGCGGAACTATAATTGGTTCGTAAATAAATGTTGTGTGATGCACGCCCCATCAAATTTTTAATGACTTATCCACACCTGTTGAACAAATATTGATAAGAAGCGGAATAATCTAACGTTAACATTAACGTAATGGAATGTCAAACATAAAAATGTAATCGATAAGCTTTGACGATATTGAAATCGTTCGTAGATCCTTATTATTGCTTTCTAGCGATATATTTCACTGGCATAACAATTCGTATCGTATTTTCTCTGAAAATAATATACCAGCAATGTATCCAAGAGTCTTCGGGTCTTCAATACGAAAGTAATCAACTCGTCATTTATCAAATGAAATGCCTATCAACTGAATTGTTGAATTTCAAAACATAAATATCATGGGTGATAAATATTCAGGGCGCAGTCATTATAAGTTTTTATTGGTACCGAAGTTTCAACCCAAACAATGAAACTTTTTTTGGTGATACTAGATCGAAAAATATTAGACCCATGCGCCCTAGGAGCAGAGAATAAAAAATAATATAAAATTTTATTATTTTTTTATGTTAGTGTTTTCTGACTTTGCTCTGAATGAATTTATAAGTTGTATATCAATCGATTTGTTTTTTTGTATAAAATAAGATAAACATATTGCTTATTGTATTAAACGAATTCTTATATTTAATAAATTTCAAAAACCTTTAGACGCTTCTAGTTAAGTAAATGTTTGTCATGAAAAAACTATTCAGATTCGTTTTTAGGGCACACTAAAACTTTTAAATACGAGTTTGTTTTGAAATCAAAAAATATAAATTTTTGGACGTCATTTTATGTGAGGTTTTTTTTTTCATGCCGTTTACCACAGGCGGATCTACGAGCGGAGGGGGGGGGGCTTTCGGGCTGAAGT